ATTAAAATGCAGTAAATACACCTAATTTTTTGCCCCATGAGAACAAGGCAAAATTACATAGCAATGTTTATATAGAGTCCAAGTCAATGATTTATTCACACTTTACTGTGTCATTTACTTTTAATTATTTTTTTAGAATTTGAGATGCTTCCTGCTAGAACCATGCACAGATCCACCAATGGAAGACAACATGTTGACAGAAAAGTGTGTACAAATGACCAGGGTGTAAGGTGGGCAGTGTTCCCACATCACATGGCTCAGAACACCACTTGGGATACAGGCAATGACTTAGTAATCAGCATTACTCACATAAGATGTCACTACACGAGGCATCATAATTTCCTTCCTTGTCTTTGAAGATTTTGAACTTATTTGCCCCCTCCCCCCTCGAAAAAGAGAAAAGTTATATGGGTTTTATGAAGTCAACAGAACTGAAGAAATGTTGCTTGAGACAGAATGAAGATAGAGAAATTTTTACCATGAAAGGAAATTTTTAACATATTCACTAAATGTGAGGCAGGGGCATGTAACTTACATATCAAATCATTAAAGAAGAAATAAACAAATAAAGAAGCTTCAAAAAAATTATAGAGAAAGATCTGTTAATGCCATCTGTCTGCTGGGAACCATATTGTTTAAAGATAAAGGAAGGTTAATACATTACCATAGACCCTTTCTGCACCACATGCTCTAAAAATGCTAATTAACCTGTTCTACATTACAGTATAATCACTGAAATACAAGTCAGCTATGTGGTAAGAAGGGTTAACTTGGCAACATATCCAGGCAAGAATACAGAAAAGTAGAGCCAACTTAATCAATGTGCTGGAAAATTAATCTTTGGTTTTATTTTCACTCAGTCTATGGGGCTCTTTCCCACCATACTACAGGGTGGTGACAACCAAGAGAAAACACAGACCTTTGGTCTATCTACTGTCATCCATTCACTTTTGCAGCTTTAACATCTCCAAAAACTACCCACTGTCATTCATATACAATACTCTACTCTGTTCAGGGGACCCATCCCCCTCACTTCTGGTGTATCTTTCACCCTATCCTTCCTAGTCTTTCCCCTCTATCATCATCCTCTGAACAGATAGCTCTAGTGTTAAGAAAGTCACTGATACTGGAGGAATGTACTGAAGTATACCGAGTGTACATATTATAGCGACATGAGAAAAGTGAAAGCACCTAATTCCTCACACGTTGTGCAATATGGACGGCATTAATTTGTTAATCACCACGGTATCACTTATGCTATTCTGTACTTTATAAGCAGGTCCAAGAATACATGTAAATGCATTCCAATGAAAATAATAGGACCGGTATTCTACTTAATAGTAAATACAAGGTAAAGGCTTTGCAGCATCATTGAAAGTTTTCATCAAAACAATATTACTGAAACAAAATTTACCTAACAGAACATAAGTCTATACAGTACTGTACTGTATTGCTATACCTGTACTGTAATGTAATAACTTTTAGAAACAGGAAGATGCAAGATAATATATGTTTTTCATCTCTATTTCCATATTTATAATATAATATACAGTATTTCTCTAAGGCTAATAAAATATGATTGTGATCAAACGAACAAAAGAGAAGTTGTAAACTTCACACACACACACACAAAGCGACTATTATACATACACATACCCCCCTGTATCTCTGGACTAAAGCTGAATACTATACTGCATTTTACACTATTATATTGCTCAAATAGTTGTACTTTAGTGTTTGAACTTAAAATGTACCCAATACAGAAATATTCAGACCATTATCTTCCTTAATGCTGGCTAGACTCTTCATTAGACAGTAGACACGACAAACACATATGGTATACAGTACTGTACTCAATCATCATGTGTAGAGCATCACAAATAATATACTATCTAACTGTAACTTAAGTGCTAAAGTACTTTGATCTTACTACTGCTGCTTCTGCCTTTACCTTACTCCAATTTATGTTTGACCTTGTCCAAAGTCCCCCAAGTCCTTGTATGGGAGGAATTTGAGAAGATGGCAAGAGAACCTCAACAAGAGTACCACTACTGTACTGATACCTCAAACAATATCAACTGAAACCTGTACTAGTCCATAGATATAACTAGTTTCAATGTACATATTTCCTTTTATGAAATATTATTCAGTTATTGATTTCCATCTGTCCAAATTATTTTTTGCAGCATTAAGACAAATTTCAAAGGTTTATTACAAGGAAATGCAATTTTGATTTGTGTTCAGACAAATATAGGGTACTTGCCATTATATCTCAAGGATGTGTTGCTGTGTTCGTCATCTCTCTGAACGCCTTGCTTGGTTGCAAGAAAAATTTTCCCTTACCCTAGGTACTAGTGACCCCTAGCTCACGTATGTCAAATACTCATTTTTGCACCACCTGCTTCCACAGCACTGCTCTGTGTATGTCCAACTCTGCAATAATGCTCCTGATAACCAGCTCTTGGTCATCTTTGTTTTTATTTACATCAATTATGTGTGATTTTTATTGTCAGTTAATCTTCATTCAAACATTTATCATTCTTAACCCGATAACTGCGACATACATCTTTGAATGATAAGCGGAAGAGTGTGACATACATTCCAGAAGGCAGAACGTTTTAAATGCAGCGCACGAAAAATTCCATATGTCGCGGGGTCAAGTATGGGATGTTTACACTCACCAGTACAGGCATTACCACACCCTAAAGAACTACGGTACGGACTATTCTGTGGTATGTTTAAATAGTGTAAACAGTGGAAAAACAACAATATGTGTGAATGAATAAGTGAGTTTCTCGCTCAGTCCGCACTCGGAACTAGTCCCATAAGTTAATAGAATAAGGCTATTTTCTGTAATAAATTTTGTTCATACAGAAACTAAGGAAATATGGTAATTAAGTCCTTCTTCCTAACTGCTGATCATGATTCTACATCAGTGGTTACCGTGTCTCCCTCCCTCACCCTCACATGTCGTCCCCCCACTCATGGCGCGGCCTCCTGCCAGCCCCAAACCCATTGACTTCCCAAATTTACCACAGCCAAACTAAGGTAACTAATGGACTATTTTTAATACACAAGAGTTAAAATGATGTTCGGGGAAAATTGACATGCGTGTTTTTTGCTCAATGAGGGGTTGAACGGTGAAACACTCTACCGCAGTTATCAGGTTAAGCCGTAAGCCTGTACAGTACAGTTCTGTACAATATATCCTAAGTCACATGAAACATGGCATACTCCACTCGCAAACAAAATCACTGTAATTCATGAATATTGTCCCCCTACTTTCTTTTCCACAAAGTCTGCTAGAAAAATGAGTAATTCTCTTGTAACAAAATTTTTTTTTTACAACAATCATTATATTAACTTTGCTGACAGTGCTACATTTATGAGTAATAACACTCACTTAGGTCATGTGTATGCACAATTCACTAGTACCATATGCTTCACAAAAATTATGATACAAATATTTGCACCAAATATATGGAGGTGTGCTGTGTCATTTATCGTCGAGTACTATGGTATTTCTTCACCTTGGTCTTTGAAAGTGGGTCCCATCCAGGTCCTGATAGTACATTTAAAACAGTGTGAATACAGCACATTCTACAGTATACTAAGACTTTGGTATACAAGAAGACAGCATGACAGGCACTGCCTCGACTCTCTTCACTTCAACAGTAAAGCTGGGAGGACTTAAGTGCCTAAGGATCGAACCAGCAACCCTTAGGTCAAGTGGGAAGTGCTGCATCCACTCGGCCAATTCACTTTACCAAGGATATATTAATCAGATTTTTTTTCTCTATGTCTGCATATATGAATTCAATTGATATGGTGCATATATTGGGGTATTCTATCGTCTACTCAATACCACAGCATAACCACTGCACTACGGCCATTAAAATAATTGCCCACAACTTGTTAAGCGAGCTGGGGAAGGACAGAGCACAAAAGTAAGGTCTATCACTGTGCAGGATATTTTAAAATCTAGGCACCATATCTGTACAGTTCATTCCCCTAGTGAAGATAAACACTGTTGTAGATTCATGCCAAGTCTTCTCATGGGGTTAAACATGGGAAGACCTTTATAAACCTAATAAAATATAAAAATATATAGTGGTATGTTCATTGTAGAGCTTCTCACAGCACCAGGAGACAGAATAAGTGGGAGGAGACATTAAAAAGTGTTCTTAAGTTGTCTTTCCATAACTCAAAGAGAACACGACTCCAGCTTACATAGTTCCCAGCATATGACAGAGAAAGATAAGAAAAAAGAAAGCTGTGCAACACATTAAGATGGAGGTATGTTTGAGAGGAAGATGTGAAAGGTAATACTGCCAATAAACTTAAAAATCTAAAACAAAGGTGATGACATGCTGATGACTGACACACTGAATAAACACTACACAGTTCCAATCAAACCTAATAAAGACACAAGACAGATTAACAGAAAACTATTACAAACTCAGGAACAAGATAAAACAGAATGTACTCCACACCTATTTCAGAAGATGATGTATGTGGAGCCAGACCTTGATGGAAAATGTATTTAGAAATTTATATTAAAAAACTCACTGGTTTCAGGTTCAATACACTACAATAAAAAAAATCACATTTGATGAGAAGAACTAGGTGATATATCATAAGAGGCAACAAAAAAATTTGCACTGTATTTTTCCCAGTAAGACTTATTTGCATGGTAGTCTAATGATAATCTCAGGATGGCTGCCAAAGAATTATTTCACTAAATATTTGGAATAAAGAATCAACATTTCCCTCAGTAGGTAGCACATGTCAACACCATGCAAAACAATACATAATTCCAAACTTTGAGAACATAACAATCCAAACTGCATTTATAGGGTTCAAACTGTCTTTCCAGAGTTAAAATAATTATATACAAACACAAATATTTTAAGACCACAAGAACAAAAGTTGTAAATTACCACATAATAATTTAGTTCCTATATCAAATACTGGACAGGAAATTGACTACTACATGTCACTGTAGTTAGAGAGATTCATATGGGGCTACAAAACAGAAATAAAACGATCAAGAAGAATCAAACTTGTGGTGTTCCATCAGTCGAGCAGATTGGGTGGTTGTACGGTAGGATTTCCTTCCGGCAGATGACTTTTAAAAGAAGCTTTATTACCCCCGACTCCTGGTGCTAAGTTGTCCACCACTGCATGTCTGTCAAGAGTAAACACACTGTTAATGATCACCACTTCTCTGGGGCCTTCGCATGCATGCAAACACACGCACGCGCACACACACAACTCCTAATAAGGCAATTAACTCTGAAGCCTCTAAACATCATACCACTCTGCATACTGACCTGTTGTAAATGATAAACTAAAACCAAACACAACTCAGAACAATAATTTTTGTCATGTTCACCTGGTGTATAAAGAGATGCTTAATTTGGGGGGAATTTTTAAAGCTCTTAAGCCAGTATGACTCGTACAGGTATACCCCGATAACCGACACATATACGGACTGTGAAAAGTCAACGGACAGGGAATCAATGGTTTTTGAAGCAATAAATCCCATAAGAATATAACAAATTCAGGAGGTTAGGGACCAGCCAACCCCCGAAAATTCCCATATATCCTTGTTATATATCTGCCATTCAAACTGTCAATCAAGAAAAAATCCGCATACGCCTCGTGGCTCAACAGGCGACAGCACTGTAGCGAGTGTGAGCGGCATGCGTGTGACCTTGATCCCTGCTCTTACTACCCCAGTTGAGTCATCGATCTCAAGCGAGGCGAGTTGGATGTGTGCAGTGGCCGCTAGTGTATTAGTGTTTTCTCTGGTTTTGTCACTATAATGACAGAAATTTATTTAGAACAAAGAACGAACATCAAGTTTCTCGTGAAACTGGGGAAAACTGGTCCTGAAACTTGGGACATGTTAGCCCAGGTTTATGGGGATAATGAACTAAAAAAACATCTGTTTACAGTGGATTAAGCGATTTTCTGAGGGAAGAGAAGAGGTGACAGACGATGACAGAGAAGGACGACCAACAACGAGCAGGACCGAGGAAAACATTGAAAAAATTAGGAAAATTGTGCGAGCTAACAAGCGACTGATGGTGAGAAGCATTGCAGATGAGGTGCAGATTGACAGGGAAACAGGTAAAAAAAAGTTTTGAATGAAGATTTGAAAATGAGAAAAGTTTTGCAAAAATGGTGCCAAAAAATCTCAGTTGATGAACAAAAACAAAGAGTTGAAATTTGCTCAGACCTTTTGGAAAGAGAAGAAGCTGGAGATGACCTGCTTCACTGAGTCATGAGTCTACCAATATGACCCTGAAACGAAATGCCAGAGTGTTCAGTGGAAAACTGCAAACTCGCAGCACCCCAAAGAGTGTTGTATGTCAAAGTCATAAGTGAAGACAATACTCATCACTTTTTTGATTCTCAGGGTGTAGTTTACAAAGAATTTGTTCCCCCAAGGCAGGGTGTGAACCAGTTTTATGTTCTCAACATGCTTAAAAGGCTCAGAGAAAAAGTTAGACGAAAACAAATAAAGCTTTTTGCTGGGAACAAGTGGATCTTGCATCATGACAGTGCCCCAACACACACGGCATTGATAGTGCTGGAGTTTTGGGCCTAGAAACAAATTACCTAACTGGAACACCCTCCTTATTCACCTGACCTGGCCCCATGTGACTTTTCTCTTTCCTTCACTGAAGAAATACATCAAGGGGACACATTTCCAAGACGTGGATGACATTCAGAGTAGCACAACAGCAGCTATAAAAGCTATTCCAGAAAGTGAGTCCCAAAAATGTTTTCAGGGGCGGAAGAAACGCCAGTGTTCGTGTATAGCATCACAAGGGGAATACTTTGAAGGGGCCTGTAGCATTAGGTCACCGACTTAATTGTCAGATCTCGTACAAAGCAATCATAATAAGCATTAATTAAGGAATGAAAGCATAAATTGAGGTGTTGAAGTGTTGAGTCCACGTTGAGTCGTCATTCCTCCCTCCAGCCATAGCTGAGGGGCTGGCTGATGCTTTGGCCACTGTTTCTGCTATTAAGAGTTTTAAAAGAACACACATATCAAAAATAATTACGGGCTAGTGGTAATTTCTGTGTGATAACGGAAAATTTTTAAAAGTCAGCAGGCCTGCCAACATGTGCATGCCTTCATTATGTTGATGTCCCATGCACATAAACCTGTTCTATATGGTTACTGGAGAAATACAGCCATCTGCAGACATTATAAATGGCTTCTCTCATAATGAAGAAACATACACCGTAAGAGGCTGATCATACGAGAATATAATAATAAATAAAAAAAAAAAAAAATGGCTAATGCGGCGCGGTCATTCCAGCCCCTACCTACGGAGGGAGGTGGTTGAGTGCTCAGGGAACTGGATTTCCTTGTGAATCAGTTTGTCTTTTATTTTGAAGTCAAATTATATATTGCATCATATTGTGTTCTATTACTTAATACTGTATATTATTTATGATGAAACATACACCATTATAGGCTGATCATACAAGAATACCGTATAATAATGAATAAATAAAAGCAAATTTATGATCGTGGCAACGGCCAGTCCCACAAATCAAGTGTCATCTTGTACCTATTAGCTCTACTGTAGTTAGGCCTGTATCACATCTAACCAGACTACTGTACACTATCCCCACTAAAGATAATACAGTAGTGTATATACTTTACTTAAAACACTTGTCATCGTTTATGGGTTAAACAGAAGAGGAAGTATAGCTGGTGTTTAGGCATCAACGTATAACACACTAAGTAGGAGAAAAGAGAAGAGAAAGAAGAAAAGAGGAGAGAAAGAAGAAAGAAGAAAGAGAAGATAAAGATGAAAAAAGAAGAGAAAGAGAAGAGAAACAAGAGAAAAAGAAATATGAACAACATATACTGTACTGTACACTGTAGAGTCTTGATAATTCACGAAATATAAATTTGCGTACTCATGGCGAGAATTCCCACCACGCCCCCATTCGCCAAACTCAAAAGGACTCTGAGCTCATCCTCCAACTGTCGGATCAACAGGGTAGTCAGCGAAACTTGCTGATATTTCCCTAATATATAATCATCGAATATGCAAAGCGGCGGTCAAGGGGGCGTCGGTTTATTGGGTATAACTGTCCAGTAGCATATGGCAATTGTGAACATAGAAGTTGTGATTATCAATTATTAATACTGCTCATGGGAAAATAATAGTGGATTTATAAATGACATAGCTAACATGCTTCCTTAGAGCTCTGGCACCCTGTAATTAAACATAAAACATCTCAATATAACGACAATAAAAAGTTACACAAAACAAGGCAGAAGTACGAGATATTATATGCCGGTACTCTATTATGTGGTGGGTAATGGTGGAATAATGCATTTATCCTCTATAGAAAAAGTCCTCAAGTAACTGGTTAGTGTGTGTAAACCACTTGAGGTTGGGCTCCCCTCTGACCTGAATAAAATTGTTTGATGTTAGCCAAATAAAATATTAAAAGTGTTGTCTCCATAGTGAAGAGGTTAGGTATAATATTGGGTGTACTGTACTGGGATGTGGTGGTGTACTGTACTGGGTGGTGTACTGTATTGGGATATGGTGGTGTACTGTACTGGGATATGGTGGTGTACTGTACTGGGATATGGTGGTGTACTGTACTGGGATATGGTGGTGTACTGTGATATGGTGGTGTACTGTACTGGGTGGTGTACTGTACTGGGATATGGTGGTGTACTGTACTGGGATATGGTGGTGTACTGGGATATGGTGGTGTATTGTACTAGGTGGTGTACTGTACATGGATATGGTAGAAAAACCACCTTGGTGGGCCTCCTCCTGGCTCATGAAAATTAACTTTGTTTATAAATATTTAAAATAAGAAGCATTATGAACTAAATAACACATGAGAAATACTGGAATTAAATAACACATGAGAAAAACTGGAACTAAATAACACATGAGAAATACTGGAATTGAATAACACACGAGGAAGGATTTTTCTCTAACGGTGAGTGAGATAAAGACAAATTCATACAGCTGCTAGTATAGAAAATGTATTATAATCTGTTGAAGGATGATGGTTGGATAATGCTACATATAATAGGTCTCACTGCAAGCATACCAGCCTACAGTTTCAGACATCACAAGAGACATCAATAAATAAAGTCATAGTCGTTGCATTTTAAGGTAAGAAAAGAGAGAAACTTACCCATTCTCTGAATTATGTTTCTTTACTTTCCTGGGAGGGGGGACTGGTGCTTGGCGTGTTGGCTGGCGTAGGGAAGGGCTTTTGGGAATTTTAAATTTTAAAGTTGGACTTTTTGATGAGAGACTATATCTAGAGGGGCTAATGGAAGACTTTTTAGAATGGTAGGAAGCAGGACTAGGTGGCTCAGAAGAAGCATGACCCCTTGATGGGCGAGATACATGAAGCCCTTCAAGGCTCATAGGAGAGAACATGGTCCTTGCAGCACGCTGAGGTAGCGGGGTGCCCATATATTCAAGAGGATCCTGTAGAATAAATCATATCTCAGTATAGTAAAAAGTCCTTTGTGCCACCAGTTCATCAAAGGATAAGGCTTCCCCAACAAGCGAGGTTAGCTAGTGCAGGGCCATTAATACAACAATTGCCACAGGTGCACAGAGGAGTAAAGGGGGAGAACCACCTGAATGTTTCCATGATGAAGATTAACCCCAACTTTATGTGATAAATATTGACCTTCAAATAAAATATACTTAAGAGTTTACAAAAAATACAAAATAAAAAAATAAAAAAAATAAAATAAAATAAATATATATACGTATATATATATATTTTTTTATGACTAATTTACATTCTAAAAGAATAATACAGTACTGTAATAACAAAAAAAATCATATCAGACAACATTCTCCTGAGAAATGTACAGGATTCTTTGCTTTAAACAATTTCCCTCTATAATGCAGTAACTGGGATCCATTTGCTCTCATTTAATTATTCTGACTGGTGTAATAGATTTGTTCCACTTTGGTACTCTCTTTCAATACCAGAACTCCAAATATTCAACTGGTTTTGGCCTTGTGACCTTATACAACCGAGCATCACCCATCACTAGTATATCCTTTCTCAAAAATCACTGGATGTTATAATGCTCCTCTCTCATTTATACTTCCTGCTCACTTCAACTGTCTTCTTCACCCCATCCTTTGCCTCTCCTCACCTATCTCATAATTATATACTCTTTTTATAAAATTTTCCTATTACTGTACCTCTCTAAATATTTGTATCGCCTGAGGAACACTGATCTGCTTTCTGCCCAACATTTCCTTCACATTCTTAAATTTCATAACAGTACAGTAATGTTATCCCTCACCTACCATGGGTTTATCGTCCTCAGTTCTGAGTACTGTATCCACATTTTATATACTGAGTACCATTCTACCAACCATGGTACAGTATCCAGTTTCAAGTATCTGTGGGTTTACACAGCCACTGCAGATCTCTAGCCCAGTGTGGCAGGAAATTTTCCGGGATTGGGTCCACTCAGAGTTCATTTTGTTCCTGTCATTGTGTGATGTTCCTCACAAGACGTCATTATCTACCATGGCCAACTGCTCTTCCTTCTATTACTGCTTTAAATCCATTTTCTAATTAACATCCTTCATCTAATATGTTGTATGGCTTTTTACTGTCCTGGCAACAGTCATCACTTTACATTCTCCGGGTCGGGGGCTGGGGTGGCAGTCACATCCCTCGTGGTCCAGCTGTAGCCACCCCACTCACTCAAAGGTGTTTATACTTTAACTGATACAATACAATCTAAACAAGATACAAACACCATTATTTTTTACCCAATTGAAGAAAACTGAATAATTTTTATGAAAAATATATTCTACATTTTGAAAATTTTACATTTTTCAATGTCAACAAATTTTTCAGTATAATATAATGTATATACATATAAATAAATGTACAATAATAAATCAATCTTATAAAACAAAGTTAAAAGAGATATCAACAGTAAGACACATGTTGCTGTACAGTCCCCTTCACGAGTCCATTTACAGGGGCTGGTCATATAAACATTCTGCAAATCATTATCTTTGAGATATTTGTTTTATTGTGAGTTTTTTGTCAAATGTAAACAAACACAGCGCTGCCATACTGCACAAAACCTTACGAGCCCCTGTAAACGCACTAGTGAAGGGGACTGTACATCCACAAGTGCTTTGGGATTACTGAGAAGTGCAGCTGCCAGGTGAAAATAACAGACACAAACCTACTGTACTCTGATAGGTCCAGCTCTTACATGTATGGTATGATCTCTGCCCTTTATCTGTATTGTCTAATGTTTATATTGTTCAAACACAGATTTGTTTATGAAAAACTTGTAAGGTGTAAAAACTTCAAATGCATATTTGTACTGCTTGGGGGAGCATTGAGGCATCAGGGGGACTGCTCAATTCGAGGTATTTTATATCTCATTTTCATAGAGCATAACAAGCATTTTTTAGCATACAGTATCATAAAACCCAGTATTCATTTTTAACTTTTGAACTATACATGACAGGACTTGAGGCACCTCACAGCACCCAGTCCTTGCCAAGTGAGGGAGAAGTCTAAGACATATCCCCTGTGGGTGGTAAAGATTTACTATATAAGGGGAAAAGTAGTAATACTGTAGACTGACTTAAGGGTTTGAGTCATAAAAAATATTACATTCTGAATCTCCTGTGAATAAAATTAATATACAGTATTTATTAGTCAAACTCACTATGCCAGTCTTTTTCCTGATCTGAATCCTTAATAGGATCTGCTGTGCTTTCAGACTTTCATAACTGCAAGACAAAATAAAATATCATTAGTAAGATGGCTAAGTAATACCTGCATAAGATATCAATAAATGAGTATAGTATATTAATATATGTATAGCTAAGTCATTTATATATACTATACAGTATAATCACACTAAAATAAAAGAAAAAACAGCAGTCCACACTAAGTTTTTCAGCAGAAGATTCAATTACTTATATGCTGTCTAATAATTACTTTTGGTTTATATTCTGACGATAAAAAAATACTGTAACAATAAGTGTAAACACAATGACTTCAAATACTGTACAATTAATGTGTGACACTGACCTTGCATGTTCTATTTTGTTAATCCACGTATAGACGCTTGATTCTGACTGGGCATAGAAGGTGTGTTTTCTGTCTGGGTCATCCTGAGAAAAAGGCAGTACTTTATTAAATTTATTTGAAAAAGAGACAACTCCTGTACACTACCTGCTCCAAAGATCTTAAACATTCTTAAGTTGGGAACTTGAAGTGTGATAATGTGTAACAGCAATTATGTATATGAAAGGTTACCAGTATATCTTCTACAATAACAAGAGTTTACTAATATTTTCATGTACTGTATATAAATCAAACTCATTTTTTTTTTGTGACTGTATAGTGATTTACCTCTGTTGCTCTGAATATGATGTGAGTAGTGTCAGCTGCTATCATTGTTTTTACATTATCATTGTTCATTCTGTTTTTGTGACAAATGCTTTTGCTCTGTTTTTGTGACTGAAGAGATCAATGTAGCTTTGAAAATGTCTGGGAAGGCCAAGGCACCCAGGAGAACCGTGTCTCTGGAGGTGAAGCTTACATTGTGAAACTGTGTGGGGAGTCATAGTGACGTCTCCACTCCACCTTCATGGGTCCCCTTAGCCTCAAAGGGACATGTGATAATGACCAGACTTGTTCTTAATGATGTGTCGAGTGCTGTTTAATTGTGTTTTCTGTATATTATTATTGTAAGAATCTATTTTCGGTGATACATATAGGTGTCGGATTGACCGGGAACGCATCTGATTGAACCCCATGTTATAATGCTCCCAATTTGTGCCATTTCGACCTGCGTTAGGCTTTTCAGGAACGTAACCCCATCATAAATAGGGGGATACCTGTATAATGAAGTGTTGTCATAAAGTGAGAAACAAATAGCTTCCTTACCTTCCACTTTATTACAAATCCAAATGGTACATCAGCAACTTCCTCCCTCAACACCTCAAAGTTCTCCAACACAAACACACCACTTGGCTGAAAGAGAGAGCCACCATCTGAGTATAATGTTGTTTGTTTAACAGATAATCCCCACCAGAGACTACAGGAGTTTACTAAACAGGGGTCCATATAACACTAACTCAGGTAAGAACAATGGCAAGGTATTGAAGAAAATATAAGCACTGCAGATGAGTCAATACTCTAAAACTGCCTACCTAATGGAAACAAAGCATTAATTCTGATACAATAATTGTCTTTACAAATTGTTGACTGCTTGTTCACTTTCACAATCAGTCATTCTTCCGTCCTCTACTTCCCATCATTTCTCACCAATTCCCTTTCTTGCTATCAGCTTTACATACTGTATAGTCACTATCTTGTAAAGCTCTTTCCACTACTGGTGCAGGGTGGCAGGAACCAGGGGCAGCACACACTCTCTCCCTTCATCCACTACCATTCTTTCTCTCATCTGCTGCTAGAGATATATCCTGCAATGGTTTTCCCCTCCAACAACAAGGCCTCAAGATGCCCACCCGTTTTATTTCCGCAGCTTCATAAAACCCAGCAACCCCCTTCGATACAACTTATGCTTTCATACTCGAGTCAATTACAAATTACTGTCCTGTACATTTTGTATTTTTTCTACTGCTGATGATATTATATTATTTATGATGAATAGTACACCAAAGAAGGCTGATCATACGAGAATATAATAAGGAACCAATAATAAAAACAGGTACAAAGCTGGTCCACGTGTCAACGCATCGATCCCCCCCCCCCACATCTCCCTCCTGGCCGCACACACAATAACTTTCCTACCATTGCTTGTGGCTCTCGTTAGGTCTACTCTACAGGGAATTTGATTACATCACTGTATTAAGTGAACAAAATTATTCTTTTTATTATAAATTTTTAACAATGTTACCCATTTTTCAAACGTGCTGCCTACCTGTACTTTAGAAGTTTTGGAGTACAGTACTACTGTAACTGGTAAACTCAAAACTATGCATAATAAGACAAAGACTAGAGTGAAAAAATACAGAGGCAGCCACACATGATGATAAGCTGTACAATATCCACACATTACTAAAGTATAAACAGCACAACTAAGGAAGAAGTTAGAAAGAATAATACAGTACAGTACAGTACAGTAATCCTTTGCCAACTGTGGGTTTACTATTGTGGTTTTGAGTACAGTACAGTATCTTTGCTTTATATACTGCACTGTACACTGTTTTACCAACCACAGTATCCAATTATAAGTATCTGAGAGTTCCTACGGCCACTGCAGGAGATTTCTAGCCCATTGTGGCGGGACTTCTGGGTTCCCATCACCAGCTGAAATGTGCAGAGCTATGCTTGAGTGAGCTGCGTCCCCCTCCCCTTATCACATTCACTATGCCTACTTCACTCTTCTCATAGTGACTTTCTGCCCACAAACATCACTGTGACACTGCTTTCAACAAACTCATAGTAACATAATTTTTTTTTTGGCCCTGAAACATGACCAGAACATAAATACAATATAGCAATGTGAGCAGTGCCACTCCTGAGGGAGAAGAAAGTAATGTCACTGAGTCAAAGTGGAATTGCTTGACTGACTTGTATGTGTTGAAAGCATAGCATTCATCGACTGGTATTTTCATGTTAATGAATTGTGAGAAACTATAGAGACAAATGATGGTACCAATTGGGCATGTGTGGCAAGAGGTGCACTGAACAATGGTCCTAGTCTAGAAAAGCAGAGAAAGTGCTCTATGTGGATTGAGGATATGACAAAAAGATAAGCGGCTACGAAGCAAACATGATCTGTGAGAAAATGAGGTGCATTTATAACCAAATTTCTTAGTGTAGGGCGGAACATATTCATTTTCAACCTTTCCAAATTCTCAGCCCTTCCCTTACGACTCTGTAGCACGTGGTGGCTGTAGAGAGGTCGGGGATGTTCATGGTGTGAAACAGCATTGCTAGGGGAGCGTCAACACCAGGTGAAAAAAATCAAAGGGTTTGCCCCATTACACATTTTCTTGTTTTTCTAAGGCCTCTTTCACATGAGCATTTTTTGTCGCGCAACTTAGAAATCAATGGAGTTCATTGGGACCTTTCACATGGACGTCCATTGAACTCCACTGTTTTCTAAGTCACGCAAATGCTCGTGTGAAAGAAGCCTAATAATGTACAGTACTGTATAGAAAGTCCCTGATTTCCAATTGGGTTCCATTGTTCCATTCCAGAAAAACCCTTTGTAAATTTGTTTTTTGTAAATTGGACAACATTTTTCATTGAACCCCCATTATAAAATAAGGGAAAAATTCCTATGAAAAAATTACTTTCCCAAAATGTATATAATTGCTACAAAACAAGTTTTTCATTAAAATTTTTGGTGTACAAAAAGAGAGAGAGACAAACACACAGTAATTATATAAAGTAGGGAATACAGAACTCATCAATAGGTGGAAGTCCCAAAGCTCTGTCTCACACTCACCTCATTCTTATCAACCCCACCATAGTCATTCAAACGGTAGTAGAAGAGAAAGTTAGCCTTCAGTTTAAACCATCTTTCCTTGCATGCTGAAAATGAAGGCTTGTCATTAATATTAAGATATAATATACATAGTAGTCATAATATATGGAACAAATAAAGGTAAAAATTTAGGTACCCGGTAAGTGAAAAGGGAAGAGAAGAGGTACAAGAGTCAGATGAAGAGAGAGGGATGGGAGGATAAGTGGAGTAGACAGTGAGAAGATGTCAGTAAGGGGAGATCCTGTGGTAAAAATATAAACCTGGAAGACAATATGAAAACACTGAACAGCATTACCAATAAAACACCAATGTTGGCATAATTCATCTAAACAAATACTATTTACCAACACCTGTTCCAGCATTATATTATTTTTTTAAAGTTTTCTAGTGACTGACTCACAAAAACTGGATGGCAATTGTTCTAAGGATCCACAGCTTGATGTGTGAAGGAGTGAGTACCTTATACAGTTTAAATGAGTGAGGCTAATAGCATATAATGTCTTCTGTCTCTGAGAAATGATAAGAAAGACTCTTGCTTGTTTAAGGGTTCTTGGATTTACATACCTCTTAAATGTCTTATTCATATTCAAAATATGTTTCCCTACTGGTCAGGTTCGGGATGTTTGATCACTTGACACATTCCTTAGAGTGCAGTACAGTATATCGAGAGTGAGGACCTGCTGGTACCTGATGACATGCCTCTGGACCTTTTCATTGGTCTTTTTGTCTTTTTCTAAGTGTTGTGACCAAACCTGGACAAATTCTTAACATATGTTTAACATTTGGTGGTTATTAAACTTCTGGGTTCAGTTGCAGGAGTTGCTTCTGTCAGTAGCTACAGTATTCAACTAAGGGGTTAAGCACAAGGACTAACTAACCATAAGTTATGTATTATAAGAAATGAGTAATAAATTAAGCATTATCAACTAAAATTAAATGAGCAGATAGATGGGACTCTAAATATGAAGACCTTTAAGAGACATCTTAACAGGTGCTGAGCTAGTCAAACTGTTATCAATAATAGCAGAGTTGTTTATGTGTTATCAAGCCTCTTCACTATTGCACTCAGTAGTGTTATGCAATCAAAACAAACACAATGCAACTAAAATGAAAAATGAAAGCTAAGCAGTGGCGTGTCGTGAGAAAAATGCTAGGGTAAGCAAATGACGCTTTCTTACTTGTAAAGTCACGAGATCTAAAAGAATTCTTTAGTAGATCACATACAGACTGTATGTGATCTACTAAAGAATTCTTTTAGATCTCGTGACTTTACAAGTAAGAAAGCGCCATTTGCTTACCCTAGCATTTTTCTCACGACACGCCACTGAAGCTAAGTGAAATTTTATCAGGATTCAACAGGATACACAGTATCCAGCTGTTAACACACCTTTATCATACAGTGATTTAGATGGGGCTTTGTGTGTGAGTCTGCCCTCGTGGTCACCAACTTGGGCGGCAAATTCTGCTAAATCATCCCCGTTAAACCGCATGTTTCTCAAGTTTTCTTCCTTGATTGCCACTTGCTAATTGATTGACCTGTGAGATAAGATAAGAAATTAATGTAAGAAATTAATATTAAAGAGTTTAAAAATAGATTAAGTAAGGTTCTTAAAAAGCTGAAGTTAAACATTCAATTACGATAAAGAGCCGAGCAGCGCAGATATCCTACTTCCTCTCGTAGGTTCATGTACAGTCACCTAGGAAACTGAATATGATCCAAGAATAGCAAATTGCTCAGGGAGTTATTACAGTTGTACCTTGGTGACTGTAACTGGGTGGACACTTGTTCTAAGTAGATTTGCGGTAATCTGCCTCATTTCAGGTAGATGGATGAGACAGGGGGAGATGGGTGAGTGTACTATCAGCCCCTAACTGTCATGGGCAATAAAGTGTGATGGCACCACACCCTGTTCTGTTCAGCTGTTAATGGACTCTACTGGAAATAAACATCTGATGGTTTTGTTGGGTGTCACCAATTGATTTGTCCCAACATCATAAGAACCTAACAAAACAACAAACAAATAATAAAAACAATGAAGTAACCGAACCCAACCCAACCGAACCTAACCCAACCCAACCCAACCCTACCCAACCTAACCTAACCCAACCTATCACTGAAAATTTTAAAAGATAACATTTCAGAAGAGGTGAATGGGTTAAAGAATAACACTGAAATTTCTTCCTTTTCTCAATCTTTTATCAAACTTAACCTAACCAAAAAGGAAAACCATATCAACCTACAAAGATTATCAAGAATACGCAGAAAAAAAGAAAAAAGAAAGCGAAAACCTAACCTAACCAATCATCACATGACAAAAAATGCAAATACAGTAGCCACTTTGAAAAAAATACAATTATCTGTGTATTAGCAATTAAAAATTCTCACTACATCACCATACAGGTACTGGGGGTCCTCACTACATCACCATACAGGTACTGGGGTGCCCACCTACACCACCACCATACAGGTACTGGGGTGCTCACTACACCACCATACAGGTACTGGGGTGCTCACTACACCACCATACAGGTACTGGGGGTCCTCACTACACCACCATACAGGTACTGGGGGGGGACTAATCAGACCCACATATCTCTATCAACACTATACATCACATAACTCTCGCGTATGGTGGAACTTAACAACTAACACATAAAAAGATGCTAGAAATTTAACTTTACCTTTAATCTCCTGAAGGAAAAAACGTTTAAACTACTGAATCACATCATTAACCATGACAGTTCCTCACCACCTCCTCCTCCTAACAGGTGAGTGATTATTGTGTAGCTAAACCCTCTATATATATATCTTACTAATACAATAATTTTAAATCATATTACATAAACTAATTAAATAAATGATGTTGTGTTTTTTTGTGATAATAAGTAAATATATTAGTGTTTGTGTTAATAATTAAGTTATAGGTGTTTTAGGACGTCCCCTCAACCCGGTTTACAGGTATATATTTCTAAGTCATTTAATGTGACTTTTATATATAAATATTCATATTCTAATGTATTTTAATAATCAATATCCACATATTATATATTATAAAAAAAATCATGTATATTTAGATGGATTATTAGAGTAAATCTCGTTGTTCTACCAAATATAAGTGAATTTTTACAAAGATTTATACTAGTATAAGTTGGTGAAGTTAACAGTTGTATTGTATTATAGTGTGTTATATTGTCTAAGTCAACGTATGGAACATTATTCTTCATATTACTGTAGTTAATAAACGTGTTAAGTGTTATAATGACACTTGGGGATGAGTTCTGTATGTAGGTGGTAACTGGGGGTTAGGATTTGGGTTAGTATGTGGATGGGAACTAATATTAATTTGTACAGGTTTATAGGGTAAGATTATTAATAGACTGATTATATATAGTATATTATAACTTAAGTGTAATTAGTAATGATGTGTATGATTATATGGAGAAAATGTCTTGGTAAAGGTTTAGGATGCACTGTACTATAATTTATATTAACAAAAGTGGTAATATCCTTTTGTTTTTTTATATAAGTCTTTCCAGATATATTCCTTTTAATACGTAGAATACATTTAATTTGATACTGTATTATGTATATCTTGCCACTGTTTGGTTCCTCCTGTACAAACACTGGACAATAAGAGGCCATGAGGGGTCAGACTAATTACCCAAATATAGCCGCAATGAAGTCAAATAATGGTCCTAGATGAATAAATCGGACTGCTAATCACTTCTCGACTAGTATTTGGTGTCAGAAAGTCACAAAAAATTGGAAAACTTACTTTAATCTGAGTTAATAGATCAAGTGCATGTACCTAACCTAACCTAACCTAATCTAATCTAACCTAACCTAACCTAACCTAACCTAACCTAACCTAACCTAACCTAACCTAACCTAACCTAACCTAACCTAACCTAACCTAACCTAACCTAACCTAACCTAACCCAACTCAAATTAAATTAAGTTTACCAATTTTTTTTGACTTTATGACACCAAATAATAATCGAGAAGTGATTCACAGCCCGAATTACGCTTGTACGACCATCATTTGACTTCATTGCGGCTACATTTGGCTACATTTGGGTAATTAGTCGGCCTGGCCATGAGAACCATCCAACCACTTTAATGGCTATTGAGCTGTTAAGTGAAGTGATAAAAAAATAATAATAATAATTAAAGAGCTTGCATAGCCGGGTACCCTACTTTAACCCGACATTATTGTCATAACAAACAACAACACAACTATAATACCTGAGGTCTCCAGTAATCTTAATGAAATATAACCAAAGGAAATTGTACCTAACCTAACCTAACAGTAATTATTCAGGACTAACCCGCAGCCGAAATTGATCGAAAGCAATTACAAAAATGCAGAATTTTCACTGGGTATTTTTTATAGTGAACACTGTTGTAGTTTGTGCAAATGTGTTAAAAAATAGTTATTTTTAAAATAAAAGTAACTAAACATTTGTGGGTATGAAAAACAGACAACCACCCTATCTAACCTCACCTAACTTACTATGATATGGTGAGACTTGAGGCATTTTCTGGATGTGAGATGATGCAGCGGCATTGGCGCTTATGCAGCCCGGCAGCAGAGTATTTTATTGTGATGGCGGGAAACGTCGAGCCATGGCGTTGAGGAAGTGATAAATAAATTTCTTTCCGGTCTGAAAGCACAGGAATTCCCACAGTGTGGACAGTCTCTATTTAAAGGAACAATGCTGTGGTCTTTGAACAATTGAAGGGTCTCGTTGTCTTTATCTCTAAATTCGCAAATTACGTCCATATAAGACCGACGACAACCTTTACATTCTCATGCTGAAAATGAAGCTGCCGAGAGCCCGGGGAAAAGCATAGCAGCAGAGCGCGGCCTCATTACCGCCGGGAAGACAAATAGTGCGTGCCTAGGCGCCTAATTATCTGTGACACAAAAAATTTGCACAAGAAATGATTATCATATCAGAACTCACCGATGAAAATACTGTAAGAAAATAAACAATAATAAAAATAACTCGTCCGCGGGTTAGTCGTATATATTAACCAAAAATATTCAGTACCGTACAGTACTAAAAATAAAATTATATTGGGGAGCCTTAGAATTAGTCGATGATATGAGCTGTATTATTCACATTAGAAGACGGTCTGAAATTATGATTTGAAAAGTAAACGCTGTGAGTGCTAACTCGAGCTCTTCAGGGCCTCGGGAACGGAACCTATTTTCCGCCATAAGTTGTTAATATTGATATACGATCGATCACCTTATGATACTTTTTTAATGACCCTAACCCTCATCGTGTAACAGTCAACACCTGTACTGTACCATCAAGGTGAAAGTCCATGGACTAAATAAGGTGATAGACTAGTGTCTAGGCCCAACACCTGGGGTACCCCCAGTTCACCCAGCTGTGAATGTGTAGCTACCTAGATAATACATTGTAGAAGTGCAGGCACTAGAGAATATGGTGGCCACACTACCTTCTTGAATACAGTACAGTACTAACTAAACTGAGAAAAGTCTTGGTCTACACAGTAATGTGCTGTATCTGCACTGCCCTTAATGGATCACCTAGCATCTGGTATCCACTTTCATTAAATGTTAATCTTCAGTACTATTTTTTTATTGCAGAAACAGATGGTAGATGTTAGTTAATAATTACTCTAAATTTACTTGGAATCACCAGTTAAATTTCTATACAAAATGCAACACTTACAGTAGTGGTTGGTTAGAAAAGATGGATCATCTGAAGATTAACCCCAGATTATTTTACCTGAGGATAAACATCCTAATGGTACCTGAGGGGTTACAGGAGGTTCTAATGTTAGCAGTAGGGTGGTCAGTCTTTAGGTGCAATAATCTAGGTGATCTGTAAAGGAGACTGTGGTATTATGAGAGATGACATGAATCAACCTGGGTATAAGTGTGTTTTCTTCAAAACAAGATATACTGTACAGTATCTGTATAATGACGGTGATAAGTCTCACAGGCGGCCAATGTCAAGTACCACTCTGCCTTGCTCTTCACATTCATACATACAGTACTGTAACATAATTGATTCCAGTTAGCTAAACAATCCTTTTCTCTATCATCTGTTTCTGCAATAGAAATTATGATTATGCCATTTATTTCTTATTTCAAGGGTGTCCTCTTAAACTTGGCAATGATCAATGGTTCATTCTTACTAAAATCAGATATAAAGTAAAGGCAATATAGTTCTTTGGTCTACTTGCTGCTCCATCAATAAATTCAAAGTTTTTTCTTCCTTCCTCATTAGATTCACATTTTTTACTTTGAAATTAATTTAGTGGTGAAAATGCCAATAAAAAAATACAGTACTGTAATAGTGTCATTCTAGACATTTACCATTTGTCTTCCACTGGTGGGATTCAGTTTTAGAAGACAGTACAGTACAGTACATAATAATTGTAGTGTCCATTATTGTGTTAAGTTTACTTGTGAGGTGTAGCTGACTGGTTCAATGTATAGATAATTTTAAAGTAAGAGGCTGTAGCTTCACCAGTTAAACTGAGAAAAAGTCTTAGTCTATAGTCTGATGTATCTCCATTGTCCCAGGAAAGGGATACTGGTCTGGAGGATGACCTTCAGCAGAGGGGTGCAGAAGGGATGATTGAAATAATTGAAATTTTATGAGAGGGAGAAATGCCATTCTTAGTGGATATATATTACTAGTGTGTATACTTGTCAGTGATAGACAATCTTTTAACCACAATTTTTCATCTTTCCCACAGATTCTTAATGGATGATTTGTTATCAAGCTTGAGTGGGGTGGCAGTAACAGCTCACCCCAACAACCCTCATGCTGAACACCCACGTTTTGCTTTATATAAGGCTAAGAGCAGTGGCTCTTCTCAGCATGAACGTAGGAGAAAAATACTGGAGGCAAGGAGGGAGTAAGTACTTAAAAAATTTTGTTTGTTTAGTACAGTACAGTGCCAAGATTAGCAAAATATTCAAGAAAAATACTTGAAATGTACAGATAAAGATAAATTAAATAATTTGATCATATAATTAGGGATGAGGGATATTAACAAATATTAATGGGCAAAATTCAGGGTTGGAGGGTCCAGGGGAAGGCAGACACTGGGATGGGTGAATGAAATTAAGAACCGGGTCACCAGAGAGATGATGTACCAGACCTGGGAGGGTTGGTAAGAACAGCCTGAGAGTGGACGACTGTGGTCGCCAACCCTCAGATATGAGGATGGTGCTCTAATTGATTTACTGTGCATTCAACAAGTCCACAGGTTCCCAGGACTAGAAACATCACCCTGGAGGGAAAAGTTCTTCACTACCACATTAGGACTTGAGGTTCTCGATCCTATATTGTTTCAGCTTGACCACAAAGCAGCATAATAAGATGAGGTGCCTCAGTTCTAGTCACATTATATACTGTACAGTACTTCTAATTACTCTTGAAATTGCAAGATTTTTTATGTACCTAGTTTAGAAGACACCTTTCTCTTAATTCCATGGGGCTGAATATTCTTAGTTTTTATCGGATGCCCATCAATAGCCTGACATCCACAAGGTAATACTGGTTTGTGTGTGTGTGTGTGTGTGTTTGTGTGTGTGTGTGGAAGGGGAGGCTCTCATTAGTATCATATCCCAGTCATAGTTGTAAGGGTATTTGTCAGGGCTGGTGCAGGGGTGGTTGTGTATTTAAGCACAGGTGCTTCATTTCCATATTTTTCATTATCACACTTGAAAATCATTACCATAAGAACTCGGCCATTTTTTTTAGATTTGTGCAACATTTAGTGCAGAGATGTAGTGAACCAATGTAAGGGGTAGCTACAGTGTTAATGGCACAGGCACAGCAGTATAATAAGCATACCTGTATTGTATTATACACTATATTGTAGCTAATTTGTAGTCTCATTTTTGCTAGTAGCCCACAACATGACCTACAAATATTGATCACTTATAGTCTGTTCATTATGGAAATGTCCTACAGTATAGCCCTATCCTCTTTCTTTACTCTTGGCTTGTGATTGGCCAGTTAGAAAACAAATAATTAAGAAAGTGCTGGAGATTGACTAAAATTTACTTCCACAGAGGATACAGCCACATTATCCAATCACAAATAAACACGTCATGTTACTGGGTGGGGCCGAATGTGACATTTCTATCGTGAACAGACTCTGGTTTTTCATATTCAAACGGTTAAGTGAGAAATTGATGGGACTTCACCTTCTTGGAAGACATGCCTTGATTCAGCCCATCCCGAAGAAGGGTGACCATTCCAATCCCTCTAACTATTGCTCCATTGTCCTAACTTCATCCCTCTCTTAAGATTTTCGAAATTATCTTAAACTCTCATTTTCTCCGTCACCTTGAACGCCTTTCTCTTTTGTCGGATCACCAGTATGGCTTTCGCCAGGCGAGATCTACTGGTGATCTGCTCTCCTACCGCACCCATCTTTGATGATCCTCTCTCAGGGATTATGGGGAAACTTTCGTAGTGGCCCTCGACATCTCCAAAGCATTTGACAGGGTATGGCACAAATCTTATGGTTTCTCTCCCCCACTTTGTTCTCTAATTTCTAGACTTCCTTGAGAACTGATCCATGGCAGTTGCTGTCGAGTGATTGATCTCTCTCTTTCTTTACCAATAGTGGTGTCCCACAGGGTTCTGTTCTTTCACCTACTCTTTTCCTTCTTTTTATCAGTGATTTACTTCACACTACGACTAATTCTATCCATTCTTATGCTGATGATTCAATTCTTCGCTCTTCTTCACATTTTTCCCTTCCCTCTAATTATCAAACTAGATCTGCTTCTAGAGCTGATATGGTTTATCCATCAACGCAGATCTGTGCAGCATCTCCGAATGGGAAGGTAGAAACTTGGCTAAATTCAATAGTAATAAAACACAGTATTTACCAATTGCACTTTCCAAAACAGAAGATCTCCCACCAATCATATTTCAGGATGCAATTATTCTACCTAATTCTAAAATAGATATGCTAGGCCTCACCATTTCCTCTAAAATGTCATGGAAGCCACACATCCACAACATTGCTAAAACTGCCTCCCAAAAGCTGGGAAGACTGTACAGATGCCATAACTACTTCACTCCTGAGCAGTTGCTTCAAGTTTATAAGGGATTCATTCGTCCTAACTTGGAGTACTGCTCTCATATCTGGGGTGGCTCTTCTTCTGTCCAACTGTTAGATAGGGTGGAATCAAAGGCATTAAGTCTTATTAACTCTCCTCCTTTAGTTGATAATCTCTCTTCCCTTTCTTTTCACAACAATGTTGCTTCACTCTCACTCTTTTACAGGTACTTTAACAGGCAATATTCAGTGGATTTGGCATCCTGTGTACCGCTGGCGAGGTCGTGGGCTCGTAACACTCATCTTGCTCGCGGTGCCCACCGTTTCTGTGTGGATGTTGGTCACACTGGAATAACCCGTTATAGTATCTTTCTTTCCTTACACAGCCAAACTGTGGAATGCTCTGCCTTCTTCTGTGTTTCCATACTCTTAGAATCTGTCTCACTTCTAAAAACTGGTTTTACGGCATCTTCGTAGTGTAGATTAATACTATATACAGTATTGTGCTGTATAGTCTTTTTCTCTCCTATTTTTGATTTCTTTTTACTCTTATTTTTTCTCCCCCTAAGCCCAGTTGTGGGTCGATGACCTGTGGCCAGGTGGGCTATTCCCCGTAAAAAAAAAGTGCTAATAACTTTAATTTTCAGGGCCCGATATGACCTGATAATGCATTTACGCTGTATTGAGGAGGAAAATGCTGAATCATCTGAATTCTCTGATGATAACATGGAATGTGAGCAGGTATGAGATACACTGTGCCTTGATTTGGTCTTTTAGTTATCTTTTCTTTTAGTTTACAAGGAAGGTAATTAGAGAATGTTTGTTGTATACATTTGCAGCTGTACAGGTGGACAACAACTAAATAATTTAGTGTTTATTTTGGTTGTAGGCTTTTATAGCACATGTGACACTGCTTTTCCTTCTACTCTCACTTTCTTCATTATGTTCATTCACCTCTCTCTTGTACAGTAGTGATTCTTGCCACAGGATGACACACTTTAGCTGTTTGAAATATTTGTAAACATTTCATATGAAAAAATGGAATCTCTGAATTGTTTGATATTTCTGAGCATTGTATAATGTATGCTGTACTGATAAACAACTTAATATTTTCTCACCAAAAATGTTTTAAGTCCAGTAGTAAATTGCTGCAGATACACTTACCTACCATTTTCTTTACAAATTGGTACAGTATACAACATGACCTATATTGTAGAAGAGAATTGTTCCTACAAATTGTCCATAAATAAAAAAATCATAAACTGAAGCTGATTTTACCATTATAAATTGGGAAGTACCATATGTCTATGAAAAAAAGTCTCCACCAACATCTAATAAAATGACATTAAACAGATTGTTAAACCCCTTTTTTTAAGGGAAAAATGATTTTAAAGAATAGAAATAATCATAAATACTGTACCTGTATAACTTACGGTGTGAGGCACTGTGGTGGTGGGTGTGGGGTGACTGGGTAGGTGAAGGTGTGGCAGAAGGAACATCATCACTGTGGGGAAGATACAGCAGGTGTCATTTCAATACAGTGTACTATACATGTGTAGTGCTGAAGGTATACTCATGTGGTAGGCTGGGAGCTCAGAGTGGTATTTTCTTTTTAATTAGACTGATTACTATTATTATTTTAAGCTTTTTCATAATATTTATTCAGAATTACTAGAGTTTATTGTACAGTGACTTTTACAACCCAAAATTGAGATTGTGTATTTATATTTTTTGGTGTAAAAGTACAGTACCTGTACTCTGTATGTGAGACTGAAAGATACAACAAATGCTGCAGATACTGGGACATTACATATAGTACAGTACAGTACAGTATAGGACATTCCTTCATGGCAGGAATTTATAAAAAGAGACAATAATTCTCAAAACTTTTCATATTTATACAGTACAGTATTCACGGGGACTAAATTTTATTTCATAATTCTGGCTCCACATAGAACTAAGGTCACATATTTCAGATTTTTGGTCAAAAATTTTGTGTAAAAAAACCTAAAGATAGAACTCTCACAAACCAGGAGTGTACAGTATATTTTATATGAAAGATCTTATTGAGATAATATTGTTCTTACCATTCTTCTTCTGTCAACAGGAACGGCGGTGTTACTTTCGACCAAAGAAATATCATAACTTCCTTATGTTAAGTGAATGGTTGGTGGATGTTCCAGAAGATTTTGCTTCATCTTACTTCGCTCTGCCATGCCCAGTTGGGAAACGAAGTCTAGTTGTCTCTGCCAGGGTGAGTATTTAGGCCTTAAGGATTGATGTAGATTCTGTTCTCTTGTACTGTACTTTAGCACCATTTAGTAATGTGTTAGATGACAGACTGGAATTGGTTTGTGCAAATGTTTTTCTTGTTAGTCTTAGCATGAGGTTAGGTAGGCAGGTCTCATGGATTCATGTGATGGCTAGGGTAGGGTTGTGTTGACAGATTGTTCTTCTTGCTTGATTAGTGTCAGCTGCAGTGTTGGGGGTTAGCCTGGATGGATACTATACATGAGTCTCCTTTTCCTGTCTCATGGGACATCCAGGATAATTTCTCCCTTTTTGTTGTACAGATAATATAACTATGCTGGAACTCATGACAAATACTAGTTATTAGTTGTTAAGTTCAGGTAATGTTGAGGAAGGATAATGTGGACCTCCTGTAGTGTGTAAAAGAGGACATGATTTTAATTTATTTTTTATTTTTTATTATTATTATGAGGAAAGGTACACTAACTGTTTTTCCTGTGTCATAACAGGACCACCTCAATAAGCTGTTGTTTAACAGTTTTCTCTTTAAGTATAATATAGTACTGTACTTTATTCATATTTTGTTAAACTTTAGTGAAACATATGTAGCTTAAATTTGATTTTATGTCTTATATTTGTTTTTACTTTTGATGGCAACACTTTTACCTAATGGAGTTTTTGTTCTTCAAATGTAGAAAAAATATATTAATGTATGGTACATAAATTTTGAAATATTGTAAAGTATTATACTGTACTGCATTATATTATACCTGTATAATATAAGTGGTGTGTTAATATTACAGCAGTGGTTTATCATGATACATATTTTCATCCAACAGGGTAGAACTCGAGCTTATGCTAAGTCTGGTGTGAAGGTGACCCAGTTCCCGTCACTGCTGCCTGGTGGGAACCGACACACCTATAATAAAGGTTATGCTCTGCTTGACTGCATATGGTCTGAAACCAACAAAACATACTATATATTGGATCTTATAGTGTGGCTCAACCAGTCCATCATGGAGTGTGAGGTAAGCAATAGCTAGGATAGGCACAATAAGAGGAACATTCTTAATACATAAATTATAGCAAGAAATGTTTTATCCTTTAAAATAAATTAGAATTGTAAGAACTTTTAGGACTTACTTCATTGTATTGACCAGGGCATTGTTCCAGGGTACTAGTGGAGGCCTGAGGCAGCTCTCAAAATCATTACAGTACAGTAACCTTCTTCATATTCAAAGCCTGGAATATGGTATATAGTTAGCCAGAAATTGAAATCATTACTAAGAATAAGATAAATAACTACAAAGGAGAGACCTTTCCAAAAATATTATACAATGAATTACCTCTGCAAAGATCATTTTAGTGCCAATCAGAATTGTCTCGCTCTATTTTCTCTTATTATGGATGACAATGAGATTTTGATCTGTGAGTGACCACAAGATTTAACTTCATAAATTAAAAACACACATACTGTATTGTACAGGCACCCTTGATTTACAAAAGGGTTCTGTTTCTGAAATTTTTTTTTTGTAAATTTATACTATTTTGTAAGTTGAAAATGATTTTCACATTGACTTCCATTATATAATCTGAGATACATTCCTTGCCTCAAAACTTACTTGTAATTACATTCTCTTTTAAGCATAGATAAGTAAATAAGCTACCTACTTACTGTACCACAAATGAGAAGCCTAAGCAGCTGTAAACACATCCATTAGTTCTGGTGTTGCTAGTGCAAGAGAACATTTCCAGTGTTCTCAATAAACGGTAAAGTTATCTAGAAGCTGTGGAGTAAACCTGCTTCCTCAATCAATTGGCTATGAAAGATAAAGTGGGTTAAGTTTTATATTCCTGTATAAACTAATAATAATATGAAAACAGTAAATAACATTCCACAGTGATGCATCAGCTATCTTAATGTTGCTGCACATATATTATGGTCCATACCTTTTGCTTTTCCTGGATATGATTTTCGTTCTGGGATTAGTTAAATATTGAGAGTTTCATTACACATACAGATATTAATTTTACATTTTATATAGTACAAGTATATTTACTTAGCATATTTAGTTCTCTGATGTCAAATAACATCGCAGGAGAAGGTAAACATCGGTGCTCCCTTAGCCAAGATCCCCGGGTACTGAGACCTTTTTGACCAAAGACCTTTAGTCATTCACATCTTAAATTGGCTGTCTAGTCCCAGAACATTAGGGTGATGTTCACTAATAATACATGGTTTTGATCTTTTTGGCAAAAGAACTAAAACACCTTTGTGGCTGCCTATTCTGAATCTTCAAACACTTCCGTAAAATTTTTGGAAGTGTTCACGAATCATATTCTGACGTTAGATACACACATCGTGTCAGATACATCTATGTATTTGTTAGTAGATGAAGAAACAAATGCTGTTTTAGATTGGTATAGAGTTTGTGAGGAAAATAACAAGATGGAGCTGCAGTGTGAGTGTGGCCAGATTAAAACCATTAATTGGTGAAGAATTAAGTCAGTTTCTTCTCCAGTAATGTGTCTTAATTTGTGTGTACCATACTTTGTTTACTTAATCTTTATCTCCTTATTTAAGAATGACCAGGTAACATATGCATTAATGGCTAACTCCTGGAAGTGTGGGAAATAGCTGTAAAATGATGATGATTATTGTTTATGTCTATATCTGTGTTGCTCTGGATTTCAGCCACCCTATATGGTAGTAAAAAAGGACTTGTATGAATCTCTTTTCACTTCATGAGAATCAGGAGCAAAGATACCGTACACATCAACTCTTCCTTTATTTACTGCCAATCAAGTATTCTTATTGTCATAATAGATGTGTTCTGCTGTAGTTCTTTCTCACAGCAAGACCCATAATGTTGATCTGGTTTACCCCTGTCACTTCACACAACCCAACATCCCCCAGCAACAGGACATCCTTCCTCTAAAGTCACTCGACACCATGCTTTCACACACACACACACACACACACACACACACACACACACACACACACACACACACTTCTATACCCCATCCCCTCTCACATCTAGTGTCTCCTGCGCTCTTTACAATTTTTGTATTCTTGGCATTTAGGGATTTGTACAGTAGTATTTTAAAGTCTTGTAGCAAGGAGAATATTTGACTACTACAGAAAATTACATGTACATTCATTCAGTTTCTGACAGTGGACATTTAAATTGGAATATATGAAGATGTATTACACATTATTATGCTTCAAAATTAGTGTTATAAATGTTTAGGTTTATATTTCAGACTATGTTTAGATTTGAATGGTTGAAGTCCCGGATGTTGGAAGAAATACCTGAGGCAGCACAAGTGTCGAGACTTAACCCGTACAGGTTGGTATAATATATATATAATTTTTTTTTTGTCTCTTGGTTTGGTGTCCTTATTTAGGTCATGTTTGTTTAATGTATGGGTTATTGTTGTACCTTGTGAGACCCATACCATTAAACACCCTCTCTGTATCCTTCAGTTAGGTTACACTATCCTAGCAGACAAGGCCAGATAATGTTTTAGGTCACATTAGATCCTTTTGTAAACCAGTGATTGATATATGATCCAATAAGAATTCAGAATCACTTATTCATTTGGTCAAGCATATTGGACCACTCTCAGCTATAAATTAAAGTTCATACTCCTGCCCCTCAGTTACCTGCCTGTCTCCAGACACTCAACATGCATTCCTCCCCTGTGAGTCTCCTTAGGTACAAATAGCAACTAGTACAAGAGGATCGTTGTTGAGATTACACTGATTTGTTTGATGGTACATACTGTATTATTTGCTATGTAGGTTTTTCTGTACCACAGTTACCCCTGTATACGGGCTTCCCTCTGAGTTGAATAAAATCATCTGCCATTAGCCAAATAAAATATTAAAAGTGGCATCCCCATAGTGAAGGGGTTAAGAGGATTAATGCTGACAGTGTTAGGTGGTTGTGCATGTTTCTCCTTGACATTGATATTGAAACAGTTTATTTAGCCAGAAAAAATCAGACACGAAGTGAACAATCACATTATGGACATGACTGAGACAAATGAGAGCTGGAGTACTCTTAGTGGCACCTGTTATATACTGCACATTATGAATTTTAATGCTGAAAGAAGGTTTTTGGGTAGAGTTAGTGTTTTGACACTTATGCAAGGTTATTTTAGGATATGATCAGACTTTATTTCTGCTAATTTTTAGGTCTATTTTTATCACAAGTTCTAAAATTCAGTAATCATTTAGAGTCGACTGTACTTACCAAATTTTCCACTGAAATAGTTCAAACTGCTCTGAAAAGGAACTGGGCTCATTTATTCACTTCCATCAACAGCTCCCATTGCTCAATTTCTTAATCATATTAAAACTGTAACTGAATATAAACTCTGCTGGATGTTCTTTAATGGATATACCTGTGTATTTTTTGTACAATTCTATTTTAACTTTCTTTTAATTTCAGATTTGAACATGTACCTTACTATGACTGTTCACCTGAGACCTTAAGAAGTTTAATACATGAACCTCTGCCATTCTCTGTGCCACTTGATGGGGTTCTGTTTTATCATAAAGAAAGTCACTACACTCATGGCCCTACACCTCTGGTTGGCTGGCTAAAAGCTTACATGTTCCCAGAGATTTTAGGTTAGTGCGATTTACAATTTTGTATTCTCGAACACAAATTTATTTAATGAATACTGTACAGTGTTTGAAAGTGTATTTTGTATAATTGATGTGTTATAGGAGAACACAACAGTTAAAACAGTCAAGGTGATAAATTTACAGAATGAGTGAAATGTAGTGTAATGTTGAGATGTTGAGGGAGTTTCATGATTTGTTTGGATAACTTCTGGAGATGATATGTTCAAGACAATGTGTTATTGAGGAAAAAAAACATTGTTGGAACTGTCCTGGGAAACATTGTTAAAGATATTAGAGAACTGGTGATATGTTGCAGATGATAGTTGTGTCATTAAACTGATGGTTGGTTAGAACTGTCAGTGTTTTATGAGGACTGTTAGGGACTTAGGGATGTACAGGCACAGTGTTAGAGGAATACTGAAGACTAATATACACTGTACAATATTGTTTTAATAATATGACCGACCCTATTTTTGGCTGCTGTCCTAGGAGACGGTATCCATATGTCTACAATTTTTTTTCCCAGGTTATTTTAAGTCCTGTCAGTGGAAGTGGCATTTTCTCCATGAGCTATGCAACTACAGGTTTTATTAAGGCTTTACTCATACAATGGGCACAAACACATTCATCTGGTAGATCATTTTAAAAGATATTACCACTGATTTTCTTCCAGTAATGTTTCACAATTTGTTGCTTGAAATTCTAAAAAAAAAAAAAAAAAAAATCGATACTCAAAGAAAGGAGGTGGATGGTAGAGAAGAATGGTAGAAGATGAGTGTACTGTAGGGCACAACAGAGAAAGGTTGAAATAATAATTGCTTATACTTTTTGTTTATGTCCTCAACTTGGATCTGCTCTATAGAAATTGAACTGTACTTTCAACAACTTGTTAGATTTAAAGCTTCATTGGTCGTCAATCTGTCACACTCCGAAATATATCGGTTTCAATTTTAGAACCCATTAATTGTCTTTGGTTGGCCAGTACAGTATCTTTCACCATATTTTGTAGCCATTCTTTGTGTAATTTTTGAAGTTTCTAGCTATATTCTGAAAGTCGTGATCTAATACTTGATTGATATATATATATACACTCCAGAAATTATCTTTATGGAGAGGTCTGAGGACTTTCAATATGAACCAGCAACTCCTGTTGTCTCAGAAGGGTTGTCAAAATCCTTCATTCATTGTGTTATATTGCCTCACACCAAGTCATAAAGATACATTTTAGAGTGAGCGAACCAGTGTGTTAGTAAGTTGTGCCTTTGGTGATGTGATTTATGGATATGTTATATATTACACCAGGGATACCAGCGCCTGAACAAATTATGGCAGAAAGACCTAAAAAGTACAGCACCCTTCCTGCTCATATCCAGTATGCTAAAGATCGAAGAGAGGAAAGAATCAAGGAATACAATGATAAGGTGAGATGAAGTATTAATCAGAGGAAGATGGATTTATTACCTTTACTTAACCCCTTCACTATGGGGTCAGCTTTTTTTTTTTTTTATTTGGTTAATGGCAGATGACTTTACTCAGGCACAGAAGGGATCCCATGCACAAGGGGGTTAATAAAATCTTGAGGCTATCTTTAATGATGGTTACCCCTTTATTAGTTTACATACAGGGTGATGAAAAAGTTGTACTGCAATAAGGGAAGCTATCCATTTAGCCCCGAGTAACACCAAAGAGGAGCCGGGACGAGTCTTCACAGCAACGTGTTATGCTCCCCGTAGTAATTATTGTGAACATTTATTATAAGATTAATGTTATATATAGTAATTAAAAATTATATTAATATAAAAAAATCGGTGCACTATAACTTTTTTGTCACCCTGTATGTAAGTGAAATATTTTCCAAGGAGAAGAGTAGAAGGTTTGAATACAATGACAACCTTAACCCCTTGACTATGATGACTTAACCCCTTGACTATGACGACTTAACCCCTTGACTATGATGACTTAACCCCTTGACTGTGATGACTTAACCCCTTGACTGTGATGACTTAACCCTTTGACTATGATGACTTAACCCCTTGACTATGATGACTTAACCCTTTGACTGGCACATCAATAACCACACCCTCTAGCTCACTTTGGAAGGAACTGATGATTTAATTTGCATCATCTCTTTTTGGAACCCTTCAAAAATTTTCCCTGGATGAAGTCATGGCAGCCTGAATTTCTCACTTAACTAACCTTGAGGCTCTTCCCTCATAAAATGACCAATAAGTTCATCTGCCAATCTAATGTCCTTCAATCTGAGGCCTTGCAACAACTTTGTCACAGTTCTCATCCTCACTCTTGTTTGGTGCTGTTAGTTGCATAAGGTCCTCCTCCTACTGTAGCATTGCTGAGTGTGACATGATCACCTTTGCAGTACCACTCTCCTCCATATCTTCAAGTTCCTCCTCTTCAACATCTTAAAAAAATTGATGACTCTCCTAACTTCTTCAGGAATGCTGGGAAAACCACTGAAATCATTTACTTCCCCCTTCCACAGTCATTAAGGGTAGAAGGCTACATTTTATCCAGTGATTTCATATTTTGGCAATGCAGTCAACAGTAGAGTAAGTCCTCACTTAATGTCGTGGTTCCGTTCCTGAAAACCGTGACGTTTTTCCCAAAAAGAAATACTGTAGATAAAATATGGGAGTTACGTTTCCCAGCTTCCCTTTACCCCATAAAATACATTACATATACAAAAATTCAATGGCATTTTTATAGAAAATAGTATATGCATAAATAAACTAAATCATTTTGTATTGTACTCACTGATGGACGGAGGTGGTGGAGCAAGTGGGTAGTGGAGCAGAGGAAGAGGATGGCGAGTCACAGACCTGGCGGGTGGCTCCTCCTCCCAATTTAAAACCTCCATTTTCGTAGCAAGGCTAATGGTCTTACATTGCTTCTTCACAACACTAGCATCAGTAACACTTGATGGGCACTTGGAAGCAATTTTGAATGGTTAGAATACAGTATTAAGAGCAAAAACACTTAAAAACGCTGTGGTAGCTTAACAAAGACTGGCGACGCTTGGGGACGCCGTGACGCTCTGTGGGTGAGAGCGTAGAGCGCCAAGATGAGAGAGAGGGTGATGCGCTGTACAACGTAGTCTGTGACGACGTTATATTGAATTAGCGGGACGTTATCCAAATAATGGGTATCTAAAGAATAGCGACGTTATAACGAAACAACGTCATCGGGGGCAACGCTAAATGAGGACTTTTCCAACATAGAATAACACTAGGAAAGTTGTGGTTTCTAGTTGCTATCACTCCCTGGTCTAATGGTTGCATAAGGGATGAGTTATTGGGTGGCAGAAACAACACTTCAACATTAGGATGTGGTAACCGGAGCATTGCGGGATGCCCTGCAACATTACAAATCATTGTCATCATCCTTTTATGGAAAATTTTCATGCTTGTTTGGGTCCACTGTGATTACCTGATGGCAGCTCTCCATGCTATGTGGTTTCTTGCAACCTCTCTCATCAGATTCTTAACTCTGAAGTACTTTTTACAACTTCTTCTCCCCATGTAATTCTTGGCCTACCCCTGGCCCTTCTAGCAGTCACATTAAGACTCAATTAGTCTCCTTCACTTTCACCACTTGCCCAAACTTTCTCAGCCTACCTGCCTCTAAGAAAAACCTCACCAGTAATTAAACCAATCTAAGAGTAGATGTGAGATGACCCATGCTTTTCTCTCTGCTTTTTAGTGGACAAGTAGATGTGAATTTAAGAAACGGTAAACAAACATTAGTTTCACTGAACTGTCTCCTGCTGATGCATAAGAACACAAGTTAAACATTTACCTGTCCTTCATGACTTTAAAGCCAGGTGTAGATCCCTCTTGGTTTAGGTGAAGGTCCTAGTTGGCCTCTATTCCAAAACAACCCAGTCTCATCAGTCCAAGACTTGCTCTGGCTTTTATTTTTCTCTTTGATGACTTTTTAAGCTGGTCAGGAAACTCTTTAGTAACCTTTTTGTCAGATGATGTTGATTCTCCAGTCACTTGTAGCAACACTTGCCCTTTCTTTGTCTTCTCATTTCTTTCTATAACTTTTCTTAGCCTCTCTCCACTAGGCTCTTTACCACTTGCTTTTCTTTAAGATGAAATCATAAAAAATTAATAAAGCCAAACAAAAATAAGGTATAATTGCACATGACACAAGAGCTGTAGGGTATATATAATCTTGTGGGATGCCAGGTACATGTAGACTGATGCTGTGATCTCAAGGGAGAAAGAAAATGGTGCCCATATCCTTCTGTGTCATATAAATGCTATGCTTAGTGGGAACTATTTTTCTTATTCCAGCCCATAAATAGTCAAGCATTTTGACTCCAATTTGCAAACTTTGCTTCAATACATCTCGAAAGAGTGAATCACTGAAGGGTAAACTTAAGAATGGTAAGGCCTTGCTGTGTTAAGACAAGTGAATGTGTTAAGTGGAATTTCTCAGTGTCTGGGAATCTAGTTTCAATATTTGTTTCCTAATGAAACAAGTATCAAACTTTATGTATAGACACATACTGTATAGTAATAGAATCAAAAGTAGAATTTCCATCATTTTGGCAGTGACATATATTTCTTATTTGCTTTATATTTTACTTTCTTTCACAGATGGAAGTTTCATCTTCTAAAAATAAAAACACCAAGAAAACCAAAAATAAAGAAATGGAAGTTAGTCTGGAGAACCAAATGGAGTCATCAGCCACCGAGCTTATTGATGGGTGCTGAAGCTCTTTTACCTACAGGTAGATTCAGTTATGAAAATCCATAGTTAAAATTTTTGTTTATTGTCAAATGATTTGATTTACGAACAAAAATTCAAAGATAATTTTTTTTTGCCATTTTCATAACTTTTTCCAAAATAATAATGCAAAATTCCACTCTTGTCACCCAAAGATTTGGAAGTTAATATTATGCTTAATGGACATAAAATGCAATTTAGATTTTATTTTATTGTATGTAATTTATTTGTGCAAATTGATATTAAAATGTTATGATTTTTTTTGTAAATGTGACATTTCTTATGAACCCACGGGAAAAGTGTGTACAGTATTCCCTCTAACCCAAACTCTCAACCCGATAACTGCGACATACATCTTTGAATGATAAGCGGAAGAGTGTGACATACATTCCAGAAGGCAGAACGTTTTAAATGCAGCGCACGAAAAATTCCATATGTCGCGGGGTCAAGTATGGGATGTTTACACTCACCAGTACAGGCATTACCACACCCTAAAGAACTACGGACTATTCTGTGGTATGTTTAAATAGTGTAAACAGTGGAAAAACAACAATATGTGCGAGTGAATAAGTGAGTTTCTCGCTCAGTCCGCACTCGGAACTAGTCCCATAAGTTAATAGAATAAGGCTATTTTCTGTAATAAATTTTGTTCATACAGAAACTAAGGAAATATGGTAATTAAGTCCTTCTTCCTAACTGCTGATCATGATTCTACATCAGTGGTTACCGTGTCTCCCTCCCTCACCCTCACATGTTGTCCCCCCACCCATTGACTTCCCAAATTTACCACAGCCAAACTAAGGTAACTAATGGACTCATTTGGTTTCCTCATTCTTCTACTTCCTATCTTTTGATCCACAAGATTTAAAATGATGTTCGGGGAAAATCAATATACACCTGACCTTCACTTTATGCTATGGTTGCTTTCTGCGACAACACAGCATAATGGGAATCCGCATATATTGAATACTTAATCTTATGGCAAAAATTAGGATATGTTCCACAACTACTAAAAGTCAATAGTAATGCTGTAAAAGTTGTGGAGAAATCATTACAATACTCTAATGTGGGTTAAATATAAAGATATATTATAAAACTATAAACTAAGACATATGAAGAGCTTGGGTGTTTGTGTGGAAAGTGTAAGGAGTGTCTGACTCACCACTCCAGCCGTCTCCTGTGACATCTCTCTCACACACACTGTGCCACGTTTCACAACCATTTCTGGAGCATTACTGCAATAGAAGTTGTAGAAAAATCATTAAAATACTCTAATGTGGCTTAGAAATAAATAAAATATAATATGATATAATTTTAGTAAAGCTTTGAGTAACGACGGTAATGTGTCCTACAATAATGCAGTGTAAGGTAAATCTTCGTATCGTGAATCATTAATTACCATTAAAATAAAGCAATAATAATGAGATGCATTCCAAAGTCTGACCTTTTCATATATTTTGTGTGGCTTTTTACCCCCTTTTCCCCCAAAACAATAAAATTAATGAAAAATGCAAACTCTGTTCTTTAAATAATGTTTATGAATGCACATTATACTGTACAATATAAATCAATAATAATTATAAGGCCACACAAGAGGAGGTGGGATGCCATTGTTGTTGTCAGTGTTTACACCCATATGTCAGTTATCCACCTGAGACTGAAGAAAATAAGACCCTGGTTGTTGTTGTAGTAAAATTAATGTAAAAAGAAATGTATGTTTTAATTAATGTTATTTAATGTACAGTACAATAAACGTAACCACTGATGGTAAAGAAAAAAGTGAGATTGATAGCGGAACACCAACGTATTATTGTTTATTACTGAACATGTATTTGATTGGATTAATGTTTATATATGCGAAATGAACAATACAATTCATTAATAATATGTAGAATATTAAAACACATGAGCGGAGACGAGACGACATTGTTTTCGTTAGTGTTTACACCCATGATGATGGTTCTACATATGAAATTCAAGAATATAAGACCCTGGTTGTAGCTGTAGTGAAATTAATGTAAAAAAAAAAAATTAATACAAGGGGCCCCCCAAATTCGTGGGGGTTAGTTTCTCAAAATGGCCACGAATAGCCAAATCCGCAAATAACATTGCGGACCGGGGGGGAGGTACATTTTTACTTATGTACAAAGAAACGTATATTGCTGTTAAGTGTTTGCCCATTGGACAAATTATTTCTTTGATCTGTAGTATTGTATATATTTCATGTAGATCCACAATGGAAACGTGGATAAGATAAATCTTGATAAAATCACAAAGGGAAAAGGGAAACAATGGAGAACCATAGGTTTCGTCTTTATTCAAGACATCTTCAGAGGCAACTGAATTACAAAGACTGAGAGAGAGCTTATTGTATATATATATATATGTGTGTGTGTGTGTAGACACACACACACACACAAAACACATTCAAATAAATAATAATTGGAAAATCCTCTCACAAATAATCAGAAACAAATTTATTAAAAATGTGAGTCTACCCCCTAAGTCCGTGCTCTATTAATAAAGTACTGGAATAGAGCACGGATTTGAGGGTAGACTGTCACATTCTTAATAAATTTATTTCTGATTATTTGTGAGAGGATTTTCCAATTATTATTTATTTGCAAGTGTTTTGTGTGTATATGTTTTGTGTGTGTGTATCTACACACACACACACACACACACACATATATTTACAATACAGGTAAAGGAAATTACTGTCTCTAGAACGAATGGCTCCCTGTCCCATGCGCAAAAATGCTGGCAACTTTAAAACTACCTACAGACAAGGTGTTATCCGCTAATAACCGAGAACTGCGAAGTAAAAATCCGCAAACGTGGGGGGGCCCCCTGTATGTATGTTTTAAGTACAGTGTAATGCCATTTAATGTTAGCATAAATTATGCTAATTAACACCCGAAAGAAGGCAATTTCTAACTTTTAAACCATTTCACCTAGAAACATGTGTGATTAGTTGAACCTGGCTAATTTTAGGGTCAAGAATCCAATTTGGGGGTTATTTTGACAGTTGGCAGCCATTTTGACCCTCAAATCCAAGATGGCCTCTGGCTGCCTTCTTGAATGTAGGCATACAACTTTTGAACTGTATGAGCTACAAACTTGTGTGATACATCAATTTCTACTGATTTGGAGTTGAGAAACTCATCTCTAGCATTGCATGTGTGATAGGTCATTTAAAGGTGAATTCCAGGATAGTTGCCAAAAGCTATATTAAAGAAAAACTTAAGGCATTAAACATAAGCTGATGGCATTTAAACTCATGTAATGCGTATTTTCTGAGGTCACAGCCGAGACCAAAACACCACATTAACAATAATCATTGGTAACTTTTATTTGAGAGAGCACACAAAGCAGATTTCAAAAGTCATAAGTACATACAGTTCTTGCTGTTCTGACCTCATAAGTTCAGTGTGTGTGAACAGCCACCCTTACGTCCACAGAGTGCTGAACAGGGCAGCTCATTCATGCAGCATGTGCATGGGGGTTTACATTCACTGGAGAAGCCACAGATGGTGTAATGACTGTTTATCAGACCACAGCCCAGAGAAATACAACACATATATCAGCAAGTAGATACCCACATGGTAACCCACGAAGATTGACACACCCAAGGAGAAGTCACGGACAAGGTACCTGAGTTAACCCGCCGAAATGACCGTGATATTCAAGAAACTACACCTGGGCAAAGACAGCTGTCCAGACCTGACCCAAGGAGAGGTCACGGTCTCAATGAACCAGAATTCTCACTGCCACGCAGTTAGCTTAACCCGGCGAAATGACCGTGTTACTCAAGAAGCTACCCCTCAGCCAGTGCACCTGTCACCTGATCACACATCCAGATTAGTGACGACATCTTCCTGCTGGAGATCTCCAATATAAGGGCCCTGCAGCTCCCTCCTTGAGAGTATTAGCATTCAAATCATCAATGTAACAGGGAATGGGCCAATAGCTCCTCCCCAGAGGGAGACTTCCGTCCCCATCACCGAGCCCCAGTTAGCAGTCTCCTACAGGACAGTCCAGCACTCTCTCTAACAGCACCTGCTGAGCCTCCCTTAGGTCATATGTGAGTCATTGTTAGAGCAATCCATAGGGTGAGTTACTTACGGTGGGAAGAATATCCATTTCATGTTTGTGTCCGAGAATCAGTGTCTAGTATCATAAATATAATGTTCTATTAATGTGTCTGTGTCATTGAGTGAATAATAAATAGCTGGACTTAGAGTTGGCATTTGTTTAGAGGCTTTCACCCTAATATATATTTATTAATTTACCTGTGTTACAATGGCAATCTCCAGTAACTTCCTCGAAATGGTAGGTATTGTGATATAAACCGGTACTGGTGTAATAAACAGGAACACCCACACAGACCAGCACCCATACACCCATGTGAATGACTGTTACAATGTTTATGGCACTTGTCAGACCAGATGGACACAATTAGTTACAGCCTCAAAGAATAACATATAAACCTATATGGGGTGCCATAGCCCCGCCCATACAGTGTGCCAATCAGGGAAACAACATGAGGACCCTTGGAAAAAAACCTACTCTGATTGGAGACTGAAAAAGGCCTCGACAACAGGATAGGAGTAAGAAAAAGACTGACAGTTTGGCTGTTGAAGTGTGGGTGCGAGGTTCCTTTGTGTGGCTCGGCGACCGTCGATACTGAAGGATCGGTGATGTGTACCTAATGTTTTCTCTTCAGTTTTGCGGGTGTATAGTGAGCTCCATTTTCCTCCACAGTGTCTAGTTAGAAATAGGATGAACGCGGGTGCCCTCATGTCACATGCTTGCTGAATAAACTTAAATAAAAAATGTCTCTTTTCCACTACCCTTCCTAACTAATACATTAATCTAAAACAAAAGGGTTTCCCCAGTAACAGATGGATGGATACCAAAATGTACATAGTCAAGTGACCCCCTTTAGTAACTACAGTACCACCCTGAGTAAAGTAAGTAGATACAAAACCTTTTGTTATACTGGGGCAGTGTCCAGGGTCTCCTGTTTCCATCCCCATCCGGTGGGAGGTACTGGTTGAGGATGGTCTTCATGCTGTGTAGCATATTGATTGGAATGTTTGCTCAGTTGGTCATCAGCAGAAGCATATAAGACTTTGTGGTAGGCAGCCCACAAAATCCAGTCGTCCCCTGCCAGTCGGTTCTCCAAGCGGTCACCCACATAATCCAACCACTGATCGCCATCTTGGAGGATCTGCTACAGTGATCTGGATGCAGAGACTGGGTGGCTGTTGATGCCATGCAGTGGTGAGAACCCTAAAATGGATTCCTGACCCTAAAATTGGCCAGGTTCAACTACTCACACATGTTTCTAGGTGAAATGTTTTAAAGTTAGAAATTGGATTCTTTGTATAGAGACAAAGTGTCCCTTTTGATAATTTTTTTCCTTTTGCCCCAAGAAATGCTTATGCCAAGAGGGACCTTTGCTCTATGAAATGCAGTGTTCACTCCCCTAACAAGTCTACAATAGGTGACACAAGTAATGTTATGTTTTGTAGGAACAAATTTCAATTTTTATATTGGGAGTCTGAGGAAAAAATTATTCTGATAAACAAAAGATTTTTCAGGAACAGAACCCTTTCATAAGCTGAGGATTGCCAGTAGCTGTACCAACAACATAGCTATTTTTTGTTTTCATATGTCAATTTCACTGTCTTTCTATATGACTAGTTAAATTTCTCCTATATTAAGATCTTTTTAAAATTTTAGATAATTCCTGTCATATTCTACAAGAGCCTTAGGTTACAGTATATCACAAGATAGGGACAGAGAACATTTACAAAATAGTAAGAGCGTGATATAAAGAGATGTAACTCAATACAAAATTAAGCCCCCCCCTCCCCCCCAAATTCACCAAACAATGATTGAAAGGTTTACTAACTAAACACTATTAACAAATATACAGAATTTTGGTGCACCATGGAAAAATAATGAACACTACAAAAGTGAAGAAATTTACACAACTTTAAGAAGATATCACAGCCTACTGCCCTCAGATCAATCAGATTTGGTGTAACTGACTATGCAGGAGCCAGCCCATGTCAACACTCACACTCAGTATACAAAAACAAAACAGTCATTAAAGGTTTTGTGATTTTGGTATCACTAGCTGGCTTCCCATCTATCTCCAGCAACTGAGCTTGAATTTTCATAGCCCCTTCCTGAATCATTGGACCACTCCGAGCAGCTTCATATCTTTGCATGTTTGGTATCCAAATTATCAGTGTTCTCCATTTCTTGTTACAGTTGTAGCCTTAAATGCTGGAAGGTCTTGGATATACCACATTGTCAGCCTTTGGTTTGAGACGATGCAAACTATGCTTTCATTTACTCCACATCGCCATGCTACAAGTGACACACTCTAGGGTCAATTACATCTTAGAATTTAACTTTATCTTCCAAGTTAAATGTCTTTATCTTCTTCTTCTCAATTGATCTGGCAGGAGAGGTGGCTGCTGAGCATTTAGACAACCTTTGAAGTGATGCACCTGATAAAGTTAAACACATGCAGAATATAGTATACAGTACATGGAAAGTAAGTGACCTTCAGTAAGGGCTACTGTGCAGTGTTGTAGCACACTACCATGCGTTTGTAGTGGCTTCCACAGTCGTTACTCACTACAGTACACAGAGGCTATTAAATTTTGTAAACTTAGTTCAGGTGTTTCTAGATGAAAAAGGAATGAAGCAGTATATAAAAAAATCTTGTATGTTACTGGTAAAGTGTGAAATCCGGTGTTGTGTAGAATTCTTAGGCATTTTATACAAAGCCCAAAACTTCAAGGCAAAGTATAAAATCAATCATTTCATACACCATTCCTAGGCATTTTATATAATGTTGGGTTTGTTTTAGGCAATGTTCTGAAATGAGACCTATTTATACATGTTTATTCCCATAATCTACTGTACCCACTACTGTACAATGAGAATCCCAAGTAATTGCTTGAAGAGAAAGAGACCAAGAACATTCATACAGTTTATTATACGAGTAACAGCCAAATATTATTATAGTGGAATTGATATTTCAGACATAAGTAGAAACTGTTAATTTTGTCAGTCTTGTCTTTGTGGCGTCTTTATTTCATCTGCAGTTCACAGTTGATGGGGTCAATGAACTGCAACTCCTTCTCATCACTTAGCTGGTTTCCATCGCATTTTCAGTCCCTAGGAAGAAAATCAATTGAACACTGGTTAAGTAACTCAGGGAAAATTATCAACTTCTATTCGGTACTCAAACAACACCAAGGAGTTATGGGTGGAATAATTTATAGGAGACGGGAAGCTTACAGCATACAGGAAATTAACAGTGCTGTGTGAAATTATATGTGTGAGTGTATGTGCAAAATGTACATCTAATTATGTGTGTTGTTTCCATGGTGCAAATGTGTTGTGTGAATATTACGTAAGTGCATAGTATATAAAGGTGTGCCTGTCACCATATAAAACAATAACTACAGTAGATCTTTGCTAATTTGACATCTTCAGGGCTTTACCCCATTCAAATTACTTGTAGAGTACAAATTAGGAGAGTGTGGCCAATTCCCATCTTTGTGCCATGAGTAATTTATGTGCTGACATTAGGTCAAATAGCCGTTACACTCAATATTAATGAAACATTATTTTGAACATTATTTTTCTTAACATAACATACAAATGGTACATCTGGACTGTTGCCAACACTAATGGTATTTATGTTTACAACCAGATACGTATTACAATGTAATGTTCATGTCTCTCTGTAGGATCATAATGCCATGGAAAAGTACACACAGTACTGTGTAATTTTTGTCATGTAACAAAAAAAAAAAAAACCCTAATGACTATTAAGTTATACTAACACTAATAATATTTATGTACTGTAGTGTATACCACCAGCTATTGCTTTTGTTGTTAGCCTAGGCAGTACCAACACCAAAATATTCAGAATGTTACCACGTGTTACATCATGGAAAAGTACCATATGGTTCTGTGCAGTGCCAGTACAGTACTAATGGTTACCAAGTTACTATTTGTTAATATTAAAAAATTTTCTAAAAATTTGGTAGATATTGTCTACACTGTGATGAAATATTACATGAAATGGAGTGGAATTAACTTAACAAAAAAGAAAGACTAGATTTGTACTGGCAGCAGGCGAGTACAATACAAGTGTTCACCATTATACGATGGATCTGCAGTACAGAATATGATTGATCAGTTTTACAATGTTCACAAATTAACACCATATACCACTATGTGATGTCTAAGATCAGTTTTATGATGGTCGCTACCACGCATTTCCTGCATTATCACTGCTATGAAAGTGATGTGCAAGAACTCACAATAATGATGCAATTAACTCGCAATAATGATGTAATCTCTGAATGGCTGCATGCTTGGGAGGCTCTACATGTCCCCGGTGGCTGCCAGGCTGGGCAGTTGAACTGTGTCACGTTACCCAGAGGATGGTTTAAGTGTGGCAAAAGCTATATACAGTATACTGTACCAATAAATAAGAAGCAAATAAATATAATAATAAATAAAAGAATACACACGGGACACAAGACAGTGAACCGAGATCCCCACTCCCTGTGCTAGCTCCCATGCATGTAAAAATATTTATTCCCTTTATGTTTTTGACCTTATACAGTATATTTTTTTGCACAATCTGTATGAGTGATTCTGTGTGCATGAAACAGAGTAAAAAGAAATTAAGAAAATCACACTTGTCTAACCTGAAATTAAGAGTTGAAAAGTACCCACTGAGAGTGCTAACTCCGACTCTTCAGGGTCTCGGGAATGGAACCTATTTTCCCCATAAGTTATTAATAGTGATATACGATCAATCAACTTATGATGTTTTTTCAAAGTCCCTAACCCCATCGTGTAACAGACAACACCTGTGTACAAAAAGTATGATAAAAATATTGTATGTAAATTGGTACCCCAGTAGACCTACACAAAGGGAAACTTCCTGTTCCAACCTGCTGACTGCTTGGCTGTGTGGGTGGAAGTCATACAAAATTTCAACAATTTGCACAATTGGCTGAAAACTGTTAATTTATTTTTAGCTATTTCACCCAAGCAAAAATTTACAAACTAGCCAGTACAGTGCTTTGAATTAGTGAGGATCTAGTGTTTAAATATTACTTACAGAAGTCTATAAGACGTGAAGGAAATAATAAACTTGAGAGAAGTATGTATGAGAAACAGTATGATGATAAGACTAAAAAATACTCAAACTGAAGGAAATACAAAAGTGAAAGAAGTATTAGAGGGAGCAGACCTGGAGCCACTTAACTCTTAAATGGCAGCAGCTCAGTACTGTATTCTGCCCCAATATGCACAAAAACTGGACTGCATGATAAAAGAAACATCCATTGACAGTGGCTTCTATTTAAGAGTTAAGTGGGGTGGACCTATGGTGAGAATAGACAATAGAAGAGAAAAAGATTATATTAACCCTTAAGCCCCAGAACCTAACCTTATTTTCCCCATTGAGTACATGTGATTATATATTGTGATTTAGTATACAGGTATAGCGAACATCGTTGGACCCCATTTCGCGATATATTCCGACCCTACTCTAAGTCTGTAACCAACTCTTTCCAGCTTTTCTATGGTTCATTTAAACTTCTAGTGACAAAGAAATGTGGAGAGGCCAATACAGTTTTCCATTGAAGCCTTGAAATTTAAAATTGTCATGTTGGTTATATCCCAAAGGTAAATAAAAATTAGCTGCAGACTTAATAATAACTTACAAGTACGTATATACTGGTACCACATTTACTCGAAGGACACATTCCCAGATACATAAATTTGTCAAAAAAACAGCTGAATCAACAAGTATCTTACCTTCATCAAACATAAATTCATCTTCGTATTCTTTAAGGAATTTCTGAGACCGCTGCTCATCAATAAAGAGTTGATAAACCTTCTTCACATCCTGGATTGTTATCTGAAAAAAAAAATTCACATTAGCAGCATAAATAATAGTTTCTTCTTGGAATATTAACTCCCTATTAACGAACTTTACCAATTATTTCCTCTAAGTTAACATTAATGCAAATTCTTAGTCTCTTATAATAATACAAAAATAATGTAAAAAAAAAAAGAACTCACAAATAAACAACTGTGATGAAGTTTTCAACATTTTATATTCTGATATTTCAACAGTAACTACCACAGAGATGACAATACACATATAGTTGGAATAAATATAAGGAGGTACACGAACACACACATACGACCTTTAACATTTACCAACAAGACTCCTTACAGAATATCAAACCACATCTACATGGCAACGAGACCTGCCAGCTAAAAGACACACAGTCAATTTATATGATGGGATACAACACCACCTTATATCACCCCAAAGGAAAAAACTCACACTCTCCTGGACAGCCACACTGTTCAACTGATACAGCAAATGTCTAGCAATAATTTTGATCTCTGTTTCTCAAAAGATTTCCATTTCTTTTTCACACTTATTCAATAGGCTTGTTGTTTCCACTACGTACTCTCTCCTTCTCTCACCCTGCTATACTGATATATTCGACCTTTACACCTTGGTTCCTAACATGACCCATCTCTCAAGAGTGATCTACCTACCCCCAATCTTCTCTATAGCCCACTGCACTATGATAAATGCTTCCCACAGACCTTATTATTCATTAGGTTCCAAGTGTAAGTTATATCTCAGCTCAAGTTTTCCTAAATTTTTTCATTCTTTACCCTTCCAGTTTTCTTCTTTTTTTACAATATTACAAAAGTTACTGAATTTTCTATTTATTTTTTTATTTTTGCTTCAATTGTTTACAGGAGCATATACATTCACATCAAAGGGTTGGAACAAGCACTGATCCATGAAGACTTCTCACACATGCCCCACTTATTATAATACACTTATCTACCTGTTTCTCCTTCCTCTTAATGGCAGCAAGGTTAGCCAACGTGATCAACTGAATTGAATAGCGCAGAGAAGTTTCCAACCCAATCTTTGTCAACACCACTAGTGCATCATCCTGAATTTCACAATCTTCTTCTTCACACCTGGAAAAAATAAAAAAGAATACGGTAACATAATCTCCACTGGAACCTCTATTTACTTATACTGTGAGCCTTTACCTATGCAGTAATTTATTTTTACTAGGATCAGCCCACAGGTCACCGACCCACATCGGGGCCTGGAGGGTAATGTAATAATAATAATAATAACAATTCAGAATAAATAAAATTTAAAATAAAAATAAAAAGAAACTATAAAAATATAAAATAATAATAATAATAATAATAAAAAAGGATCGAGTGAGAAGCAATATATGTACCCAGTATGTTGTGTTGTCAACAGTAAGAGAAACAATTGAGACCCTGCAACTGTGAGTAAATGAGGCAGAAAGTCAGATCAGCAACCTGGGACTTGGTCAAAATTTTTGTGATGCCATACGGCAGCAGGGTCTACTATTAGACAATACATTATGCTTTCAATATTTTCCCAGGTGGTAGTACCTACCTGTTTGGTACTGATAAAACCACATTAAAAAAATATTAATAATAATTACCATTTCTGCAAACCTGATGCCTAAACAAATACCCTGTACCACAACTGTATATCAAGGGTGTAACACAACATGTACAAGGTCCAAACATCCATCAACTGACCTAATCTTCAAGATCTCCCTAATTTCTTTTTCTTGATAAGGCAACGTCCTTATGATGATCATTCGGTCCAGCATGTCGATGGGAATTCCATGAGGAGACACGTTTTGTGTGCCTCTGATTCGAGTCCTCCCACGATTGGTAGCCACGATGACAACTGGTGCCATGTCATCTTCCAGGGCACGGTTCAGGAATGAAAAGCATTCAATGTCCAACATGTGTACCTGTAGGCAGGAGATGCACATTACCAAATATATACAACTACAAAATGTATACCATTTATAGGTTACTAAATATAAAATCAAATGAGCATAATTCAAGAAGCATGAGACAGTTTGGCAAGGATCATTCAAGTAGTGAAGTTTTAAAGTAACTGCAAAGGAAATATTAATTACTAGAATTAGTACACTAAAATATGCACTAGATATTAAATAACTATTGGGCTAGATATGCTCTTGTCAATTAGCCACACTCAGAGTGCAGTCTTTGAGGGTGAACAAAATCAAATTACTGTCATCAGATTAACTCCACAGCATTTGGTAGAACTAACACAGCTGAAGGAAGAGAAGGCAGAAAGAAGTTACCACACAACAGAACCAGATAATGACAGAGGTTGGCTCATTACCTCACACTCATTGACCAAGTGATCCAGAAAGGGATTGATATGGATCCTAACCAGGAGTAAATTTTACAAATTTGTGAGCAGAGTAAATGACACCAAACAGTGATGAGTCTCACCCCACAATAATCACAGTTCCTCACCCATGCTCATATACTGTACATGGTTATGCTTAATATATTTCATACCTAATAGTGCATATTTTATTTAATTATGTCGGAAGGGTAATTTAGTTACCTACTAAACAAAAAGAAAGGTCTCTATAGCAGCAAACAGATGCACTACTTCGGGTGAATTTCTGTGACCTGGGTTTTGTGAGACATGCTTGGTGTACCAGTGTCTTGGTTTGTGTTAATGACTGTAACAGTGTGACAAATTGATGTGAAATTCTTAACACAAACCTTATTAATGTAAAACTCTATTGCATAAAAGAAAATAAAAAATTTACACACATTAAACAAAGAAACATTCAGAATGGAAGTTAATGATTAGTTTTCATAAGAGCTGAGAGTAATACTGTACTGTACACACCTCATCAACAAAGAGGACCCCCGGCACTAATTCAGCTTTGCCTTCCTCCCGCCACTCAGCGACCTTAGCATTGATCTGCTGCCTCACTTCTCCTTTAATCTCACCAGTGTCACCTGTATGGATAAAAGCATATGTACAGTAGATGAAATTTGATTTACACAACAAATATGAATATTGTCTCCTAAGTGATAAAATATCTCAGAAATTCTGGTTGAAGTCTGCTGGTCAATGCATGAGTGACTACTACTAATTTAGTGAACCACGTGTTCCTACACACACACATAAAGATACCACTAAACTATGGCTACACCATTGTTTTAAGAAATAAACCAACAGAATTTCTCAGCCCATCTAACCCAGGAAGTAAAATCGGATGATTTAAATACAATTCTGTAATATTCTCACACCTAATTTTACAAATGATAATTAATGAAAAATAACAGCAAAATTAATGAATAAGGAAGTAACAGCAATATTCCTGAATAATGCCAGACTCTTACACACTACCACATTCACCAAGCAGGGAACTCAAGTTACAATCCACAAATCAAAATCTTATATTTAGTTTAATCAACCATGACCTCTGATCAAGTACCTCCAAAAAAAAAAAAAAAATTTCCTACCAAGCAACTGGTCAACACGTAAAAAAAATTATAAAATACTGTCCAAGAATAAAATAGTTTAAATTTATGAACCTGGCATAAGTAATGACAGTACAGTAACTCTTTGCCCAACATTAGATAAAAAACCTTGTTACTGTAGAATATTCACATTGACAAGACTTACCAGAGAAGAGAGCAAGGAAGCCCTGTGTGCGGTTGTTGATAACGTCAATCTCATGAAGTGTGACAGTGTGAACTACTTCTTTCCTCTTCTGAAGTTCACCTTCTGGACACTGAACAAACCTGAAACAAAGTAAGAATTTGTCAAGGTAAACTACACATGCAAATAAACATATAAGAGACTGTAGTTTCCAAGTCTTTGAATGTTTTAGAAGGCAACATCACCCCAAGGCCAGAAACTGTCCTTACCTTGTCTGAGGACCTGTAGCATCATAATCACGAGCGCGTGTGAAGGAACGTCCAAGTTTTGTGATCTTCCCAGTGGCCTTATCAATTGTTATAACATCACCAGCTTGTACCTAGAAAATAAACTTCTACAATGACATAAACTCAAAGTTTAAGCCTATAATTACACTACTTCCTCATCTTTTGCTACACCCACTGGGCAAAAAGTGTAACCTCTCATTAAGTTAAGACTTCAGATGGCTACCTTCCAACTTCCAATTGTATCTGTGGTAATAATCTCTCTGCAAGAGCTTGTCTGCTACTGGTTATTCTTAAAGATCACAGAAAAGGCTTTAATATTTAGACAACATATTCACATATTTGGCAATAAAACATGTGGTAATACTGCCAGAAACATTTAGGTAGAGAGTTAACTGTTTCCCTTAAAATAACTTCACCATAACCTCCACTCATATTTGTTTATTTGGGTAAATTTTAGTTAAACATAATCCTTGTGACGTCACACAAGGTGAGAGCTCGGTGCAGTACTGTATGACAAGCTTCTAAGGCTCAAGTGTGCCTCAGTTATCATTAAGATGTGTTTCAGTTGTTTTTGGGAGAGGGAGCAAAAAAATATTAAGATACCTTACTGTAAACCAAAAATAGTCCTCACCTTTTCCTTTGTCAACGCTTCAATTAGTTTATTGCCAAGGTCATATATAGTTTCCATCTCTGTAGTCTTGAGGGTCAGTTTACCCACTTTGGCTCCTGTTCCCGTGGCTGGGCGGTCTATCTGCACCTCAACCACCTCTCCCTCAATAATTTCCGTCTCTTCTTTAATACGAACACCAATTGATCGTCGGAAAGCCTGAGTTAAAACTTCAGTTTTGGACATGCCCAGACTGTTGAAAAAAATTGTGTTGATCATCTCGAATTTCATTATGAGGAAGAATTAATATTTCTAATAAGACTTGTTAACAAAGTCATCCAATATTCCATAAATTTTCAATAACAATTTGCTTTCTTTCACCACAAAGATCAAAATTATTTCAAACAGTTTATTTTATCTATAGTGAAATCACACCTACTAATACTCTACTAACAGAACATGGAACTAACAGGAATACAGTATTTCACATTCATATAGTGAGTTTAGTTAACAAAATCCCTCCTTGTTCTTGTATACACTTGGCTTACTTGGGCTACTGAGTTAATCTTCACCTGTCACATAAACAGTACTTAAGACTAAGAGTAGAAGTAGTTTGTTTTGTTACAAGTAAAAGAATAATGGGTTTGTAACAGTTGAATATCAAGTTACACATCTGGGTAAAGAAACTGGCATTTTGACATAAGACTTAACATCACACACCACTGACAACAATATCAGACTAGTCACAGGCAGTAGAATATTCAAGACTGAAGGCAAGGGGAAAACTCAATTTAAACAAAGTTAAAGCTGCCCTATATTAAGGTGAAACTAAGTTACAGAATACTGAATGAATACCTTTATGGATAGCATAGGGAGCAAAGCTTTACCCCATATTCATTGCTTTTGGAAATGTTAAGAGCAAGTGAAGAGTTCCCAAAGTTTCAAAGAGGATGACCATATAAAAGAAATATTTTTCACAAACCATAAAGGTAATCTGAGACAAAGAGGTAAGACTTGAAGTGAAGTAATTTTCTATTTTGTAAGTCTTAAATCTATACATCAAGTCCAGGTAAAGCAAAATTTCACTGAAGTTTAAGAACAATACTGAGAACAAATCAGAATGCAACAATCAAGGGACAATTTTTTTGAGGTGTTAAATGATAATAAAATAAGCATGTTGAAAAACAGTTTTGAGACATAAACTGTATGTGAAGAAGATCACATTATGATCTGGTATATTGCTAACTCACAAAAATAAATGTATTACCTGTATATCTCTGAGGCAGAGATGGCTGTGAAAGGAGTGTCTGCCCCAAGAGACTGTGATAAACCAAGAGCAATGGCAGTCTTGCCTGTTCCTGGCTGGCCGGCAATAAGGATAGCTTGACCTGCCAGTTTGCCATCCTTTATCATGTTCTGTACCACTCCTGCTGCTCGTCTTGCCTATTAAGAAATATATATATATATATATATATATATATATATATATATATATATATATATATATATATATATATATATATATATATATATATATATATATATATATATATATATATATATATATATATAAATACATCAAAGGAATACACATAACATACTAAACGTCACACTTTTCCAAAGTCTGTTACTATAAAGAAGGTGTAGCTATTGTATATGTATTCATGAAAAAGCTCAAACTACTCCAATAAAGGACAGTAAATGTACAGTAATGATGATAAAGGTAATATCCAGGAAATAAACTTCTGAAAAGATATTAACAGCAGCCTCACAGGTCCTGGCAATGTGCTGTACCTCAGTAATTGAATTGTGATTACAATTTGGAAAAATGGGGAAATACGTAGAAAATGTGGTCAGTACTTATATGTAAATATACATAAAGACTACAAAAAGTATATTCTGAAATTTTGGACTTTTCATTAATTTTCCTTTTACCAGTAAATGAAAAGATACTTTCATGGTCTATAAAGCAAGTACAGCTGCCTTTATAAATGTCAATCATAGTCTCAAAGAGGTAATGCTCTCGCTACAATAACTATGAATATATAATAAATTTTGGTTCCAGTATTTATATCTGGGGAAAAAAGTTTTCTCTCTTACCTTAACTTGGCCAACCATTCCCTGGGCTAATGGTTTGGGTGTGAGGTCATCTGTTAACCCCAGACCACGGATATGAGAGTGAGCGCCAATACGCTCTATTCTCGTCACCTCATGCTCCTCACTTGTTAGACTAACCTGTAAAATAATTATGGCAACTATAAATACTCTACTATTATTATTATTTCACACTACAGCAGAACACTAGTTTACAGTATGTAGCTACACTCACTCCAAAAAGTATCTTAAAATTTTGTGTCAGACAATAAGATACAATGGACGAATGATTTTGACACCCTACCGAGACAACGGGAATCACAGTGTTCATCGTGAAATTCATCGGGCCCCTCGTAAAGATACTTTATGGAGAGTGTGTACTTAACCTACTGGAAATAAGCATCTGATGGCTTTGTCAGCCAACCTTGGTCAAATTGCCTACATGTAAATTATTATTATAGCTAAATAGTTTACAAACAGACAATGCTTGGTACAGAATCCTTAACAGCTATGGAAGAGTATTATGGTATACAGTATTTATTCTCTACTCATTGGACATTTTAGAGAAGAAATTAGCCAAATACTCGATTTTCAAATGATGCAACAATGTTATTTCAAATACTGTAGTGTATAATGTCATTAGATATTACTATTAAGTGAACTTTGGGTAGTTAGCTGCAGCACAGCACCTAGTTCACTGGTGCCACTTTACCACAGCTACAAGAAAAAATTTTGCCATCATAAAAATCTGAACAAACTGTCAGGGATGGTAAGAGAAATATTATTTAAGTTTTATAGTTAAAAGCCATAGCTTCCACCACTTAATAATTAACCAAAATTTTATATCAAAAAACAAAAATCAAGAATATTTACATAACTTATCATACTGTCACAGATGTCAATGGTGAAGAGAACATCAAAATATATAATACTGTACATACAAATACATAATAAATTAGTCAAGAATCATTTGAATACAGTTGTGTAGGAAATAGGTAATGGTAAATGGTTATCCCAGTGTCATATATTGAGGTTGTACTGTGCTGAAAATGTTCTGGACATGAACAGTTCCATCAAAAGCAATCCAAACCAAACCAAACCTAACCTAACCTAATAATATGTATTCTACTATCACACTATGAATAATTTATCAGTACTATGGTATATACGTAGACCATGTGGGGGGTAATATAGCCGTTGATAACCACACTAACAGTTCAGTTCAGGTAATAGCAATCTCCCTCATACATTATTAACACAAGTCTCCCTCATATATTATTAACAGAAAGGTTACTAACAAATAATTAACATTTCTTTCATTGTTTTCCCAAGTTTCTGGAGTTAGCCAATATACTGCAGCATGAGGGAGGAACCTTAAAAATTAGTGATAATTCTCCTGTCAGCTCAAGTAAAAGATATTCCATTTAAACACTATATAAAGGAGGAATTTTTCTCTTTCATATACATCTCAAACATTCCCTGAACTACAAGAAATAACCAAATTAATGAACGTTTTCCTCACCGCTGCCATCGTGTTGTGTTGATTGCTGTCTGGAGAGGAACACTAGCACGTGATTGGGTGAGAGGAAGACGCAGCTGGGATCTGATTGGCTGAGACAATAGAGACGATGTTGCCATAGTGACGCATACTCCAGCGTGTTGTTGGTCTTCGTCATAAGAATTGTATAGTGTTTAAGGTATACACTAAATTTATATGTAATGTACAAATGTAAAGAAGAGGTATATATGCTAATTGTTATAGATAGTATATATAAAATGTCATACTACCACCCATCACCATGAGAACCACAATCACTACCCACCCATCACCATGAGAACCACAATCACTACCTCACTTCCACCAATATCATTACCCTGCTACAGACACCATTACCAGACCAGTCCACCACCAACAAACACCATTACCCTGCTACAGACACCATTACCAGACCAGTCCACCACCAACAAACACCATTACCCCACAGACACCATACCAGACCAGTCCACCACCAACAAACACCATTACCCCTGTACAGACACCATTACCAGACCAGTCCACCACCAACAAACACCATTACCCTGCTACAGACACCATTACCAGACCAGTCCACCACCAACAAACACCATTACTCCTGCTACAGACACCACAGATCAGCATATCCACCACCAACAAACACCATTACCCCTGCTACAGACACCACACACAGAAGTACCATTACCCTGCTACAGACACCATTACCAGACCAGTCCACCACCAACAAACACCATTACCCTGCTACAGACACCATTACCAGACCAGTCCACCACCAACAAACACCATTACCCTGCTACAGACACCATTACCAGACCAGTCCACCACCAACAAACACCATTACCCTGCTACAGACACCATTACCAGACTAGTCCACCACCAACAAACACCATTACCCTGCTACAGACACCATTACCAGACCAGTCCACCACCAACAAACATCATTACCCTGCTAACAACCCCACAACCTTATCATCCTACCACCAACATCAGTATTTCACTTGTCATTCTGTTTGGTTCCGGAAGGACCTTCAACTGCCTAGTTATACTTAAGACAAGGAAAGGGGTGAAAAGTTTATAAGTGCTTCTAAGTTCATTTTAGAACTTTTCTGGAACTATTATCCTCTTCGCCACTGATCGGCTCGTTAGCCGCCCGGGCGATCGGTCACATCTCTGTCACGCACGGTTGGCAAATACTGGGCATGCACCGGCTCCTGAATGTACCTGAACCCGCTCCAGTGTTGGTCAAGTCTTGTCTTGAAAGAGCTCACACTCGGTGCCGCCACAACACTCTCTGGTAGATTGTTCCAAGAGTTTACAATCCTCACTCCGAAAAAGTTTGCCCTCACAGTTTTCTGGACTTGCGGCTTCTTCAATCTTGAGCTGTGACCCCTTGTGGGGCGAGCGTCCTCCAGCTCCAAGTAAGGACACTCTACTGAGTAGTGCCCCCTGAGATGCTTATACACCTCAACTAGGTCCCCCCTTTGCCCGTCTGTAGTATAAGCTAGGCAAGTTCAGGCGCTCCAATCTCTCAGGGTAGCTGAGGTGCCGAAGTGCAGGCGCCAGTCTGGTGGCCCTCCTTTGAACATTTTCAATCAACTGACAGTCCCTAGCATATCTCGGGGACCAGACAGTACTCCAGATGGGGAAGCACTTCACTCTTGAAGATCGTTACGAGGGACGGACCGTTTAGATATCTGAACGACCTTCTTATAAGATCCAATAATTTATATGCCTGATTTACCTTCTTCTCACAATGGCCCGAGAACTTCGGCTCATTGTCAACATACTCACCTAGGTCCTTCTCACATTCAGTCTCAACTAGTGCAGTTTCTTCATCCCGTTGGGACATATGATACGCCTCCTTACCGTTGGTACGCCCCAGGTGCATCCTCTTACACTTCGTGACATTGAATCTCAGCAGCCATTTCTTCGACCATTCCTGGAGCCCACAGGGGTCCTTCTGCAGCTCTTCACAGTCTGCTTGGTTCTTAATTTCCCAAAATAACTTGGCGTCATCAGCAAACATTTGTATGGAGGAGTGTACAACGTCAGGCATATCATTTATGAAACAACCTGCCAGAGTGTGTTGTGACTGCGCCGAGTTTGAGCTCTTTCAAGACCAGACTTGAACAGCACTGGAGCAAGTTCAGATACATTCAGGAGTCCGTGAATGCCCAGTACAGTACTTGCCAACAGTGCGTAGCAGAGACGTGCCGATTGCCCAAGCGGCTAACGAGCCGATCAGTGGCGAAGAGGATGAAAAAAAAAGTATAATCTGGAACAAGCAGTTGCCCGCCTCATTGAAGGTTTCAGCCTCGAATTAAAGAAGCCACAAATACCAGAAAATTGTCAGATTTAAATTATTTCGAGTGAGAATTATTACCTTTTGGAATAACCTGCCAGAGAATGTTGTGACGGCAGAAACTGTGACCAACACTGGGTGGTGCATGTTGTGATGCGTTTTAGAGCCAGCATGTGCAGTCCCCTTCACTAGTGCGTTTACAGAGGATCATCATATAACATTCCAAAAATCATTATTTTTGAGATATTTGTTTTAATATTGTTTTAATTTGATTCCATAGTATGTTTACTGTTGCGAGTTTCCTTCTGTCGAATGTAAACAAACACAGCGCTGCCACACTACACAAAACCTGACAAGCCCCTGTAAACACCCTAGTGAAGGGGACTGTATTACTAGTATCCTGGCACCTCTGGTTCCCAAAGAGATTCGAACGCTTGCAGTTGCCTATATTGTAGCTTATATTATAGACAGGCAAGGGGCGAATTAATAGTAGTTTATAAGCAGCCTCAGGTTAAAGAAGTCACAAGATTAGATAAATTGTTTGGGAAAAATTTTGTGAGTGAGTTCAGTGAGTTGTGAACTGTTGTACTAACCTGCCAAAGAGTGTTGTGACGGCACCGAGTGCGAACTCATTTAAGACCAGACTTGACCAACAGTGGCGCAGGTACAGATACATTCTGGAGCTAGTACAACACGAAGTGCATTCAAAGAGGATGCACTTGGGTCGCATCAACAGTAAGGAGCCGTATCACATGCCCCAACAGGAAGAAAAAAACTGCATTAATTGAGACCGAATGTGAAAAGGACCTGGGTGTGTATGATATCTGGATGGTCCGTCGCTCGCCACGATCTTCAAGAGTGAGGTGCTTCCCCGTCTGGAGTACTGTCACCCCGTCTGATCCCCGAGATCTGCTAGAGACTGGCAATTGATTTAAATTGTCCTAGGGAGGGCCTCTAGACTGGTGCCTGCTCTACGGAACTTCAGTTACCCAGAAAGATTAAAACGCCCGTAACTGCCTAGCTTATTCTACAGTGTATCAACATCTCAGAGGGCACTACTGAGTCGAGTGTCCATACCTATGGAGCTGGCGGACGTCCGCCCCACAAGGGGTCACAGTTCAAGGTAGAAGAAGTCGCAAGTCCAGAAAACTGTGAGTGCAAACTTTTTCGGAGTGAGAATTGCGAACTGTTGGAACAACCTGCCAAAGAGTGTTGTGACGGCACCGAATGTGAGCTCATTCAAATCCAGACTTGACCAACACTGGAGCGGGTTCAGATACATTCAGGAGCCAGTGCATGTTCATTATTTGCCCACAGTTCATAACAGATATAAACTGACCGCGACTAACAGGTCGACCAGTGACGAAGTAAATTATTACAGCTACATTGCCAACACCAATGCCCTACTACTGTATTAACATCAATGCCCTACTACTGTATTAACATCAATGCCCTACTACTGTATTAACACCAATACACTACTACTGTATTAACATCAATGCCCTACTACTGTATTAACACCAATACACTACTACCAACACCACTACAAAATCATATTACTGTAGTTGTGTCCCCAAGAGTAAGGGGCACAAATCGACCTGCACCACACCACACTACCAATACTGTACACAGCCATCAGCACTACGGTTATGACTCAAGTGCAACATTTAAATTACTTTATTTAGAGTGACATTTATTCACGAACTTTAAGCTCTTTCCTTATAGCCACTAATTAGTGGATATAGTTTATTAATTAAGTTCCTCCTGGAACATATACCCCTTCAATAGTTCAAAGAATATGTATATCACTAAGGAATACTATTATTATTATTTGGATCATATGACATCACAAAAATTGTGACCAAGTCCCAGGTTGATGATCTGACTTTCTGCCTCATTTACACACAGTTGCAGGGTCTCACTTGTTTCTCTGACAACACAACATACATTTATCCCTTTCTCACTATTTATCTTTATTCTTTTTATGGTCCTTTATTATTATTATTATTATTATTATTATTATTATTATATTTTCGCCCCGGGCTCTGATGTGGGTCATTGACCTGTGCCCTGGTGGGATAATGCCTGTATTAAAATAGATTGTACCCGTTCTAAAACATCACCAACACTACATTCTTAAGTGACAGTCAAACAAACGGAGTAACCACGGAGTACATTAACGCCCTTATGTCCCCCGCGGATTGGGGATGTAACGGTGGGAAAGGAAGAAAAATCCCTACCGCTGCGAACCGTTGTAAACCCCTTACTTACACCCGTGGAACTGTAATATTGGTACCAAGACATGAGGAAAAAATAAAGGTGGTCACCGCAGGAAAATAATACCCCTAACATACAATAAAAATGGTTTATTAAAATAATACTAGACTTCTGACTACTTCCAGTACACACAACTACCATGAGCAACACTCATGTACTTCTCAACAAGGTACAGTACATCTCTCGCAATCACCATCACTTGGTGACTCTTTTTAAGCAAGACAACTCACTACTCTTATACCTCATACACTTGAGTCCCAACAATACACTTCCTGTACACAAACTGCACGGGTCACCTTCATGGCTCCACCCATGGCGCTTCACAGTAAGGTGCAATACAACTTCCAGTATACAAACAAAATGGCGTTCTTTTCACAAAACCACCTAACACTGTGATCACACCTATAGTACACTGGAGCATCAACCAAACAGGTTACCTGAAAATGTAGCTTGTAGAAAGTAATAGGATTGCAGCAGCCCCACAACTGTAGAGCTACAGTGGTTACTATTCGAAAAGAACCAATGGCTTACCTCATACTCTTGCTAGCTCTAAGCATATATAGCACTACACATGAATTCTCGGACAAATAACACACCCAAAGTAATCTGTACTTAGCGGTGAACTCATACAACCACTGCATGAACGAGTCATGTTTACATCGCGGGCGAACAACAAGTGGATGGCGAACACGTCCTGGCTACCTCCTCTCAGTGGCTGACTGAGCCTGGCTGTGCGTGAGATCTCGGCTTACCCCATAACTGTGTTGGCGACGATATCCGACCTTATTGACGATCATCCTTCTCCAAATGCTAGTGTGACGTCGTCCCGGGGTCGACACGACCAGCTTGGCTTCTTTCTCTATGTGCGGATGGAGACTTTCCGTTAAACTCGAGCGATAAATATATTTTGTGTTTACATTTCAGAAAATTATTTAACTTCTAAAATACAAGACGGACAACTCTTTCTATGTTTCCATCGGATTCCCTGATGTTCAAACATCAAAACAGAATGACATCAATTACGAACGGCCGCCGCGTAAGAACAAACGAGACATAAGATTTACAGGTGGCAAACAGAGTACTCAACACACATGTATCCCTTTTCAGTATATATCTTAATTTTTTTATTTATGGTCCTTTATTAATATTATTATTATATTTTCGCCCCAGGCTCTGATGTGGGTCATTGACCTGTGCCCTGGTGTGACTCAAACGTTTCAAATGTTTTGTGAGCGCTGGAGTATAATATGAATAATTACGTGTTGAACGGACTAACTACAAACGGGACCATGACCTCTGCTTACTAGGCGTCTCCACTCTCTCCTGGAGAATATATGGGAAAAGGAGGAAATCCCCTAAGCTCATAAAGACGCCCCCATCGACATATTAAGAACAAGGGACACCAGTCAGATTGTGGCAACTACCCCGGGATCTCGCTGCTGTCCGTAGCTGGCAAGATTATCGCCCGAGTCCTCCTAAACAGACTATCACCTGAGGCAGAAAACTTTTTCCCAGAATCTCAGTGTAGCTTTAGACTATCACGTGACACCACTGACATGATCTTTGCTGCCCGCTAGATACAGGAAAAGTGCAGAGAACAGCGTTGTGACCTGTACATGGCATTCATCGACCTAACCAAAGTCTTCGACTCTGTCAACAGGGAAGCCCTCTGGCGGACCCTCAGCTGGTTTAGATGCCCACCAAAATTCATCACCATTGTGAGGCAACTCCACGACGGCATGAACGGCAGTGTCCTGGACAATGGCACCCAGTCTGTGTCCATCCCCATCCAAACGGGGGTTTAACAAGGGTGTGTACTGGCACCAACTCTCTTTTCCATTTTCTTGGCTGCCTTCCTTACTCGTGCTAGTTCCAATTTAGCCGGAGGGCTGGACATCGAGTACCGGATGAAGGATCTTCTCAAAATAGGACGACTCCAGGCAGGAACAAAGGTGTCGGCAGTTTCCATTACTGAACTTCAGTATGCAGACGATTTCACCCTTGTTGCTCATTCTAAATGCGACCTACAGGAGATCCTGAACACCTATGCAGATACGTATGCACACGTCATCCTTGAGGTGAATGTGCTTATAACTCCGATTCTCTTTCAGCCTGCCCCTGGTTCAGCCACACCTCCACATTCCATCCAGCATAATGGTACTACCCTCTCTAGTGTTACTCATTTTCAGTATTTCGGCTACCACCTGTCCACCACCGCGGACATCGATGAAGAGATTCAACATCGGATGTGTATCTCAAGCCTTTGGCAGACTCCGTACCCGTGTCTTCAGCTGTAGGGAGCTGAAATTATCTACAAAGCTGCATGTATATCGAGCAGTGGTCCTCCCCACCCTGCTATATGACAGCGAGACATGGGTCACATACAGGGGGCACCTCAAGACACTTGAAAACCTTCACCAACGTAGTCTACGTTCCATCCTCTGAGTTCGCTGGGAAGACAAGAGAACAAATGCCAGTTTTCTCGCTAACACCAATTGTAGGAGCATCGAGGCTACCATTATCCATGAGCAACTACTTTGGACTGGCCATGTTGCCCGCATGGACGACACTAGACTGCCAAAGCAGCTACTTTACAGTCACCCAACTAATAGTAAACGTAACGCTGGCGGGCAACTGGAAAGGTATAAGGATAGTCTTAAGACAAACATGAAAAAGTGCCAAATCGATCCCCTCACCTGGGAGACGATCACGCCACACCGTAACGCTTGGAGGATCACCACACGAGAAGGTGTTAATACTTACGAATTAGCCCGACTGCAAGCCGAGGCAGACAAGCCCCAGCGCCGGAAAGACGCTGCCGCCGCCCCTCACTCACTAGATGTAGCCATCCACATGTGCAACATCTGTGATCGACCCTGCCGGTCCCGTATCGGCCTCTTTAGTCACTTTAAAACTCGCCAACCTGGGTGACATCCTTAATAGCTCATATTATTTTATCATAGCTGGATGATCGTCATACTCGATTCCGAGTGACAGCAAAGTAGTAGTAGTAGTGTTGTTTCTTAAGAGTAAAGCTGTCATCAACACTATTGTTTCCGAAGACAGTGCAGCTCCAGGCACAGCTGCCATTACACGGTCATCATCACTTCACGACCATCTGCAGCAATACACCACAGAGGACTCCTGATGACTCGTGACCTGTTACTGTTCGTGGTGAGAGAGGGGCGGTGACTGTCAGCAGTAGAGCCAGTCACGGTGATCTGCTGGCCGACACTTAACTGGACACTTGTCTGGGATTTTCTCGTCGTGGAACTTTTTCTTGTACCTGTAACGTAAAGTTTGTGTTAACAAGAATATAACAAATATTACTGAGCGAAACATGGATACTGTTGTACGGGTCTTTGAGTTAATACACGTATATCTAGATGAGGGACGACCTGGCATAAATAAATACAATAATGAAATAAAAAAGATCAATAGTTAGAAACAACTTACTAACGTAGGTATCATTCGTCCACTCTAAGGGCTCTAACATCCCAGGCTAATAAGTGACGATCTTCTCCCCGCGTGATTATGGTGGCCCCCATCCCCTGCCCTCCCCCTCTCACCCCTCACACACTCTTACCTCCTCAACCCAACACCCCACACCTTCACCCCTCACACACTCTCACCCTTCACGCCTCACACACCCTCACCCCTCACACACTCTCACCCTTCACCCCCCACACACTCTCACCCTTCACCCCCCACACACTCTCACCCTTCACGCCTCACACACACCCTCACACACACCCTTCACCCCCCACACACTCTCACCCTTCACCCCCCACACACTCTCACCCTTCACGCCTCACACACCCTCACCCCTCACACACTCTCACCTCCTTAGCCCAACAAAGAGACCATCGACGCGGCGTGTTGGCCAGGGGGAAGTGTCCGCCTCATACTCCCCGCACCAGTAACTGTCGTGGGTCAACACGTGGCCAGCCATGAACGGCCACAGCATATCCTGGGGAAGGCGCCGCCGAATAAGTGGGTGTGAAGGTGGAGTTTATGGGCGGGGCTGACGCATAGGTGGAATCGGTTGAGGGAAGTGGGTAGACCTCTGGGTTGATAGGAGGTGGTGGTGGGCAGGTAAGTCCAAAAGAGGTTCATAGTATGTGTGGTAGTGTTACTAGGCAGGTGGATGGGGTTGATTGCTAGCACAGGTGAGGAAGGTATTCTTAGTGGAGAGAAAATACAGGTGGATGAAATAAGTGGAATATGTAGATGGAAGAATATGTGGTTATTAAGAGAAGGTGGAGGAGACTGTTGGTATGGTAGTATGGGTGGACGGTGGAGGAGACTGTTGGTATGGTAGCATGAGTGGACGGTGGAGGAGACTGTTGGTATGGTAGTATGGGTGGACGGTGGAGGAGACTGTTGGTATGGTAGTATGGGTGGACGGTGGAGGAGACTGTTGGTATGGTAGCATGAGTGGACGGTGGAGGAGACTGTTGGTATGGTAGTATGAGTGGACGGTGGAGGAGACTGTTGGTATGGTAGTATGGGTGGACGGTGGAGACTGTTGGTATGGTAGTATGGTGGACGGTGGAGGAGACTGTTGGTATGGTAGTATGAGTGGACGGTGGAGGAGACTGTTGGTATGGTAGTATGGTGGACGTGGAGGAGACTGTTGGTATGGTAGTATGAGTGGGCGGTGGAGGAGACTGCGGTGGAGGACTGTTGGTATGGTAGTATGAGTGGACGTGGAGGAGACTGTTGGTATGGTAGTATGGGTGGACGGTGGAGGAGACTGTTGGTATGGTAGTATGGTGGACGGGAGGAGACTGTTGGTATGGTAGCATGAGTGGACGGTGGAGGAGACTGTTGGTATGGTAGGTGGACGGTGGAGGAGACTGTTGGTATGGTAGTATGGTGGACGGTGGAGACTGTTGGTATGGTAGCATGAGTGGACGGTGGAGAGAGACTGTTGGTATGGTAGCATGGTGGACGGTGGAGGAGACTGTTGGTATGGTAGCATGGTGGACGTGGAGAGACTGTTGGTATGGTAGCATGAGTGGCCGGTGGAGGAGACTGTTGGTATGGTAGTATGGGAGGACGGTGGAGACTGTTGGTAGTATGTGGTAGTATGGGAGGGACGGTGGAGGAGACTGTTGGTATGGTAGTATGGGAGGACGGGTGGAGGAGACTGTTGGTATGGTAGCATGAGGGACGGTGGAGGAGACTGTGGTATGGTAGTATGAGTGGACGGTGGAGGAGACTGGGTGTGAGTAGGGAGGACGGTGGAGGAGACTGCTGGTATGGTAGTATGGGAGGACGGTGGAGGAGACTGTTGGGTATGGTGAGTATGGGGAGGACGGTGGAGGAGACTGTTGGTATGGTAGCATGGTGGACGGTGGAGGAGACTGTTGTGGTATGTAGGTGGACGGTGGAGGAGACTGTTTGGTATGGTAGTATGAGTGGACGGTGGAGAGACTGTTGGTATGGTAGCATGGAGTGGACGGTGGAGGAGACTGTTGGTATGGTATGGGTGGACGGTGGAGGAGACTGTTGGTATGGTAGCATGAGTGGACGCTGTTGGTATGGTATGAGGTGGACGGTGGAGGAGACTGTTGGTATGGTAGCATGAGTGGACGGTGGAGGAGACTGTTGGTATGGTAGCATGAGTGGACGGTGGAGGAGACTGTTGGTATGGTAGCATGAGTGGACGGTGGAGGAGACTGTTGGTATGGTAGCATGAGTGGACGGTGGAGGAGACTGTTGGTATGGTAGTATGGGGAACAACTATGATGAATAATTTACTGGATATAAAGCGAAATTAATGTTATATTATCAAGCAGGATGATGTAAGTTAATATAATTCACTTCAGAAATCGTCACCACTCAAGACACAAAAGATGCGTCACTCTCATCAGTCACTCACCCTCAATATGTCCTGATCGTCACCATACTTGTGTTCGTTTTTAGCTCTTATGATCATATTGTCTCTGAGGGCGGCCAGTAGGTGGACGGCGTGCCTGCTGGGGGACTGGTCGTGGTCCCAACGGGCGCCCCACAGTCCCCCGAGGATGGGAAAGTCATGTTTGGGATGATCCCGCATTATGTGGAACTGGAGTCCAGACAACCACCACGCCCTCACTGCTTCCACTTCACGATCTATTATCTGTAACATTTCATCTATTTAAAAAAATCCGGTAAAAAATTAGATGTTGCAACACATAAGTCATGAACCGTGAGTGTGTCACGCCCGTATTATTAAACAACATCTTCCCTTGAAGAGGGTCGTCTTGTTTCAACCTGAGTTTTAAACTAAATTCCAATAAAATTAATTTATAATATTGGAATTAGTTCATTTTCCCGCCACACCGCCCCGTTAAATACTGTACTGCGGTGTCCCTCAGGACTCATTTAGTTTAAAACTCGGGTTGAAACACGACGACCCTCTTCAAGGGAAGATGTTGTTGAATAATAAGGGCGTCAGAGTCGCACCAACATGGCCGCCAGCTGGTCAACACACCAACATGGCCGCCAGCTGGTCAACACACCAACATGACCACCAGCTGGTCAACACATCAACATGGCCGCCAGCTGGTCAACACATCAACATGGCCGCCAGCTGGTCAACACGTCAACATGGCCGCCAGCTGGTCAACACATCAACATGGCCGCCAGCTGGTAGAGAGAGGAGGAGAAGAAGAAGGAAGAAGTGTTACCTGTGAGTCAGAATCTCGCACCATGATCGCCGCCACCTGGAAGTCGCCAAGAGGAGCGAGTCGCCACATCATGGGATTAATTAGAGACAAGTTGCCCAGAGGCGGTGGCAAGTTGGTGATGTCACACACGTCAAGGTGAGCGTGACGTCCTAGGAGAGGACACAGGACACTACCACGTCCACGAGGATCAGTGTAGAGACGCACCCGCCACCCAGGGTACACCGCCGTCACCTGCCAGATGGTCACATTACAGTGTATTCTCTTTATAACACAGATCTTATTCACTACACCTCGCTAGAGGAAATGTCACGGCCGTTTTAGCTCCCGGGGATAAACTTTCAGTGCAATGGCTAGTATTAGCTGTGAACAGCTCTGTGCCCTACTGAAGGTCAACGACAAAAGCTTGAAATTAAAAGTGATTGTGAGGATGAAGGAGGAAAACACGAAAACACAGGCCAATGGAGGGTTGTGGGGAGAGGAACGACCAAACTGGTGGTGAAGAAAGATTAGGAAACGAATACAGCTAAGTGTACTAACTTTTTTAGTCCGTTGGTACACGAATTGGATGGGAAGATAGACGAGGACAAGGCTGACAAGGAAGGTACGAAAACCTTAATCGATGGTGATTCCCAGGTATGGTACCTGGACAGAGCTTTTTGTGTCAAAACTAGAAATAGGATGCCAGGAGCTGGGGTGGGGGATATAGTTGACAGGATGGGCAATATCTTATCTGGTAAAGGGAACAAACCCATTATTTGCCTCAGTGCAGAAGGCAATGATATTGGCCGGTGTAGGAGTGAGGAACTTCTTGATAAGTTCAAGGCCGCTATCGAACATATTGATCAATGATTCCCAACATGGCTTCACAAGTGGGCGTTCATGTCTGACAAATCTATTAACATTCTTTTCAACTTTTTTCGAATCAGTTTATGACGGACACGATTATAATGTGGTATACCTCGATTTTAGCAAAACCTTCAACAAAGTTCCCCACAAAAGACTAATACGAAAAGTGGAGGCTCATTGAATTGGAGGAGATATTCTAAAATGGATTAGGGCGTGGTTACAGGGCAGGAAACAGCGAGTAAGCATTAATGGGACTAAATCTGATTGGGGCAACGTCACTAGTGGAGTTCCCCAGGGCTCAGTACTTGGACCTTTACTATTTATTATATACATAAACGACATAGCTATAGGCATAGACAGATACATAAGTAAATTTGCTGATGACACTAAAATAGGGAGTGAAATTAAATCCGGCGATGACTCCGCAAAACTACAGGAAGGACTAAGAACTTTTTTCGCTTGGTCTGAAAAATGGCAGATGAAGTTTATATTGGACAAATGTAAAGTACTTAGTCTAGAAGATGTAAACAGAGAAATCAGACACCAGATGAACAACGTTGTTATAGAGAAATCCGAGTGTGAGAAAGACTTAGGAGTAATGTTAAGTAGGAATCTTAAATCAAGACAACAATGGGTATTTACTCGAAACAAGGCTAACAAAGTACTTGGGTTCATAGAAAGGAGTGTTAGTTACAAGACTAGCGAGGTTATCCTAAAACTATATCTTACGCTTGAGACCTCACTTGGATTACGCGGTTCAGTTCTGGTCAAGGTCTTACAGAATGGATATAGAATCCATAGAAAGCATTCAGAGGAGAATGAAAAGAATAATCCAGGGCATTAGGAACCTTGAGAACAGAGACAGACAGGTTAAAGCATCTTAATTTGCACTCCCTCGAGAGACGTAGAGTGAGGGGCGATATGATAGAGGTGTATAAATGGAAGTCATGGCTAAACAAAGGTGACATTACAAAGGTACTCAAACTATCCAACCAGAAGCAAACTCGCAGCAATAGTTTTAAATTAGACAAATTTAGATTTAGGAGCGAGATTGATAAACATTGGTTTGGAAATAGAGTGGTGGATGAGTGGAACAAGTTGCCAAACATCATCACTAACTCGAATATGCTGAATAGCTTCAAATATAGGTGGATGTAAACGGGACTGTCCAGTATGGGCCAATAGGCCAGCTACAGTTTCCTCCATTCCCACGTTCTCTCTTGCGAATGTTTTCTAAGGTGGTAGAAGACCGAAGGGGTCACATATCACGAGCTAAATCACACTGACATCAGGGTAACCAAGAACTAGCCATTGGTTACATTAGGGTTTGGCTTCTCATTAATATTGTTGGGATCATCACTAACTGATGGGTGAAGGTTGACAAGATAAGCCTCACAATACTGTTGTTGTGATTAAATTGTTTATATGTGACTATATTAATGATGTAATCAATGTACATTTATATAATATCATCAAATTAATTATTCTGATCACCTGAAGATTCGCCCACCCGCCTGACTTCACCTTAACATTAACCATCCTAACACTAACCTGACGTAACAAATACTAACTTAACCTAACTGTTGAGTCCTGACAAGTAAACAAAAAGTGTCTCTACAGATTCGTCTAATAATTTTACTTTACCTCAGCAGAAATAATGAACAGGTTTAATTAAACCAAATGAAATCTTTGATGAATGGAAGAAAACTGTTGCAGAAAAACAAATACACAGGTGTGTCAGATTACCTGGGAGAGTATGTCGTCCAGCCCCACCCAGTATTCTGGGTTGTCGCCGTACAGGGAGAAACTAACTACCCGTTGGCCGCCTCCTGCCGCCCACGCCCGCCGCCCACATGTGCCGCCCACACCTGCTGAGGAGAAGTTCAGAGATACCGGAGAGGAAGACGTCTCAGGAGGCGACACTTGAGCTGAACAATCACGACCATCACACCGACACTGTCCACCGTCCCACCAGGGCAGCGGCTCCTGACGGCCACACAGTAACACGTAACTAAACGCACTAATATTAACTGTGTATAATAGATCAAGAGAACTACTGTATTATTACTTATTACATCACAAATATTTCATGATGGCTTGTATGGACAACTTGCATTAAACATTCGGTAGTTCTTTACAGCAGACAAACCTCTTCACTGTGGCCAGTGTCAAGCTCCGGGGCGACGACGACATCTGCTGGTACTTTCCTGCTGCGCTGTGTTGTTTGGTCGTAGGTCGTGATGGTTCCTGTGCTGAGGATGTAGGTCGTAGAGGCTCCTGTATTGTGGGTGTAGGTCATGGTGTCTCCTGTGAGGCTATTGTAGGTGGTGGTGGCTCCTGTGAGGCTATTGTAGGTGGTGGTGGCTCCTGTGAGGCTATTGTAGGTGGTGGTGGCTCCTGTGAGGCTATTGTAGGTGGTGGTGGCTCCTGTGAGGCTATTGTAGGTGGTGGTGGCTCTTAAGTGGAGAGTGTACATCACCTGTCCAACAAGGAGACAACACACACTCGTCCAAACACCACAGTAAATATATGACCTCATTCTCCTCGTCCAGACGGGAAGACGAAACTCAAGACTTCTGGAAATAAACCACAAGAGTGTTTATATCGGGGTAAGTGGCCAGATGTCATCACACTCCTGAGCTCCTGATCCTTCGCTCTCCTCCACTTAATGTTAACAAATCAACTAATATAATTCGAGTAATTTATCTAAACTGATTAATTTCTCACATTTGCTTTCCCTTAAAATTCCGAATATTTTCTTTCGCACTTTAGTTTCCTTTACTGTACATTGTAATTACACTTTCCATCCTGCTGTTGACTATAGTTCAGCTCACTCACTCACCTCATGTTTATTTTATCAGGTCGCTGCTCACACCTGACGAGGGCGGAAGCTCAACAAGATGCTCACACCACCAGGAAAATCACAGCTGTTTTAAGTTTATCTTTTCCTCCTCAACCACGTAGTGACCTTCCACCCGGGGTCCAGGCTATGTTGTTTACAAGACGATTCTCCCCCCAAATGCTATGACGAGGAGCTGTGTGTGTGTGTGTGTGTGTGTGTGTGTGGTGTGTGTGTGTGTGTGTTATTTTTTTCATCTTAGCTTGCACATTGTCCCTAAACGTCGCTTATGTATAAAAAAGCGATTTTTTCTTCATAATATTCACTTTCATTTTAATCTAATTTCTTCTAGTCTATACAACTTAAACGTCCTGTATTAAGAGTGTTGTTGTAGGAGGTTAGAGAGAGAGAGAGAGAGAGAGAGAGAGTATTGTTTACGTGGCAGCAATGACGTCAGATCTCGAGCCGCACTAAAACCAATATGACAATCACCAAATTATATTTCAATCACTAAACTACGGATACTATTTACCAAGACTGAAGAGTAAAATATTTAACCACTGTGAAGACGATACAGCAGTCGCCAATAATGAACGTACAAATATTACAGTTTACTTCTTACTTACGGGATAATCTTCATAACTAAGGTAGATATTAAAAGAAGGCAATGATGTGGTACTTCTCGATCTTAAGGTATCATAGACAGTGGTGTGTGTTTCTGGGTTTGAATACTTACAGGTGTGGGACCAAAATGTTATCAAGGAAAAGAAGATCTAAATAGTTCTTGTGATTCACCACCCGACCCCCTAGGCATATGGAGGAGGAGGAGGAGGAAAGAAAACCTTAATATGAAAAACGCCTCAACTTTCCTGGTGGCATCGGTATCCTGTAAGTCCCCGCCCCCGTCAGTAGTGATGTGACCATAACAGAAATAATGAGGTGAGTTAATGAGCTGAACCACAGTCAAGAGCAGTCATGGAAACAACTCTCTCCTCTCCCCCAGTCCCAGAGTGTGATTACAATGAGCTGTACAGGAAACTACAGCGTAAAATAAATCATTAGAATAAGGGAAAGGAACCAAGTTGGTCCATATTTACGTCATCGTTTGTTTACCGCAGAGCATTGTGGGGGGAATCTGGGGTTGGTGTGGCTGAGGTGCGTGTTATTTGTATGAGTGGCGATACAGGGACGATTTTAAAGTGTTCTGTGATGATAGACAACGAAACTAATGAACTAAGATGATGGCTTATAAATAGGTAGAGAGTTTTCTGCTGGGAAATCCGACTAAAAATTTCGTTTGATTCGAAGGTGAAAGTGGGTCCTATAGGCATGACTGCCTGATATGAACGGGGTGCATTCAACACACTGTATACTAAGGAGGTATCATGACCGGCATTGTACTTGATCGCCTTAACTTTCCCAACTTTTAAAGTGAGGTACCAGTTTACAGCTACATATACTGTATTTATTATCTTGCACTATAGACTTGATTATGGTGATGTTCGGTGGTTCATTTCATGCGGCACAAATCAACCGAATTTTGGTGTACAGTACATTGGTGGCTCTAAATGTAAGTTGCAAAAAAGTCCTGCTATATCTGGGTGATTTGTGTCACATGGAATGAACTATATGCAGGATAATAAAAATATGTACAGTACGTTAAGTATTAGTAAATGATGACATTTAATAAATACGTGAACAGACAAAATAAAACTATAATACATAGTGAGCTCCATAGAGACGTAGAGTGAGGGGCGATATGACTGAGGTGTATAAATGGGTCAGGGCTAAACAAAGGTGATATACCAAAGGTACTCAAACTGTCCAACCAGGAGCGGACTCGTAGCAATGGTTTTAAATATGACAAATTTGGATTTAGGCGAGAGATAGGTAAACATTGGTTTAGAAATAAGTGTAGTGGATGAATGGAACAAGTTACCGAACATCACCATTAACTCGAACACGCTGGGTAGCTTTAGACATAGGTTGGACGGATATATAAGCGATAGGGGTTGGGTGTGAACGGGGCTGCCTATAGTATGGGCCAATAGGCTCGCTGCAGTTTCTTCCATTCTTATGTTCTATAGCCTGGGGCCCGGGGGTACAGTGCGACAGTTTATTGCCAGTGGTCATCACTGTCATGGACGTTGTGACATTTTTGATCGGCGAGCGACGGTTTATATTTGTAGTGTCTTACTGTCTAATCAACCTAACTTTCGACTGCATTTTTCATCATTAAACCGTCTACTCATAAGGCACCATCTTAGGTTATCAACTTAGTTGTCTCCGATCACAAAACACTTCAAAATCGTCCCTGTATCATCGCTCCCATACAAAACTACATGCACCTCCGCCAAAACAACCTCGGATTTCCCCCTCAATGCCTTGTGGCGACCAAACGATGACTTAGTTGTTGATTATTTAGCATTATGGAATAACATATTAAGAATGGACTGAACTCGACTACTGTATGTCAGCAGTGGAGGAGAGCGAAGGATCAGGAGCTCGGGAGTGATGACATCTGGCCACTTACCCCGATATAAACACTCTTGTGGTTTATTTCCAGAAGTCTTGAGTTTCGTCTTCCCGTCTGGACGAGGAGAATGAGGTCATATATTTACTGTGGTGTTTGGACGAGTGTGTGTTGTCTCCTTGTTGGACAGGTGATGTACACTCTCCACTTAAGAGCCACCACCACCTACAATAGCCTCACAGGAGCCACCACCACCTACAATAGCCTCACAGGAGCCACCATGACCTACACCCACAATACAGGAGCCTCTATGACCTACATCCTCAGCACAGGAACCATCAAGACCTACGACCAAACAACACAGCGCAGCAGGAAAGTACCAGCAGATGTCGTCGTCGCCCCGGAGCTTGACACTGGCCACAGTGAAGAGGTTTGTCTGCTGTAAAGAACTACCGAATGTTTAATGCAAGTTGTCCATACAAACCATCATGAAATATTTGTGATGTAATAAGTAATAATACAGTAGTTCTCTTGATCTATTATACACAGTTAATATTAGTGCGTTTAGTTACGTGTTACTGTGTGGCCGTCAGGAGCCGCTGCCCTGGTGGGACGGTGGACAGTGTCGGTGTGATGGTCGTGATTGTACAGCTCAAGTGTCGCCTCCTGAGACGTCTTCCTCTCCGGTATCTCTGAACTTCTCCTCAGCAGGTGTGGGCGGCACATGTGGGCGGCGGGCGTGGGCGGCAGGAGGCGGCCAACGGGTAGTTAGTTTCTCCCTGTACGGCGACAACCCAGAATACTGGGTGGGGCTGGACGACATACTCTCCCAGGTAATCTGACACACCTGTGTATTTGTTTTTCTGCAACAGTTTTCTTCCATTCATCAAAGATTTCATTTGGTTTAATTAAACCTGTTCATTATTTCTGCTGAGGTAAAGTAAAATTATTAGACGAATCTGTAGAGACACTTTTTGTTTACTTGTCAGGACTCAACAGTTAGGTTAAGTTAGTATTTGTTACGTCAGGTTAGTGTTAGGATGGTTAATGTTAAGGTGAAGTCAGGCGGGTGGGCGAATCTTCAGGTGATCAGAATAATTAATTTGATGATATTATATAAATGTACATTGATAACATCATTAATATAGTCACATATAAACAATTTAATCACAACAACAGTATTGTGAGGCTTATCTTGTCAACCTTCACCCATCAGTTAGTGATGATCCCAACAATATTAAGGAGAAGCCAAACCCTAATGTAACCAATGGCTAGTTCTTGGTTACCCTGATGTCAGTGTGATTTAGCTCGTGATATGTGACCCCTTAGATCTTACACCACTTTAGAAAACATTCGCAAGAGAGGAAAGAAAGTTTGGTGTCGTGAATAAGATCTGTGTTATAAAGAGAATACACTGTAATGTGACTATCTGGCAGGTGACGGCGGTGTACCCTGGGTGGCGGGTGCGTCTCTACACTGATCCTCGTGGACGTGATAGTGTTCTGTGTCCTCTCCTAGGTCGTCACGCCCACTTTGACGTCTGTGACATCACCAACTTGCCACCACCTCTGGGCAACTTGTCTCTCCTGCTGCCATCAATGTGGCGGCTGTCCCCTCTCGGTGACCCACAGGTGGCGGCCATCATGGTACGCGACTTGGACTCAGCGGTAAGATCACGACGTACAGTGTGTCAAGATGAAGAGGCCCGGCGTGACTCACTGTTTACTGGAGTAGTTAATTAGTTTAAATTAGATGACTATTATGTTAAGGTTTTATTATTAACTAGCAGAAACGCCCAGCTCTTTAGCTAGGCCACGGTAGAATGGACAGCCTAGAAAAGTTAGAGATCAAAGAAAAGTAAGCTGTAATGAGAGAGAGCATAAGGATAAAATTAGCTATAATATGCGGGATGGGATACAACTTTTTACCCTCTGTGTGGTGTAACCAATGGAGGTTAGTTGCAGAGAAAAGTAAGCCATAATGAAAGAGAACCTAAGGATCAAAATAGCTGTAAATCATAGGAAGGAATACGACTTTTCTACGTGTGTGCGTCCGGCCTAACGGTTAGTCTCTCTCTCTTTCTCTCGTTCTCTCAGGCTGGTCCGGTTGGTTGTGTCGTATCTGGTTGGTTGGAGTTTTTTTTAGCTCCCCACATGACACTTGCTATCCATGCCAAGTTTGGTCCAGATAGGTAAAGTAGTTAACGAGATTCTCGTGCGGACACACAGACAAACAGACAGACAGACTTCTTTGTTTTATATATATATAGATGAGAATTCACTCATTTATTAACTAGAGGGCTTCTTTATCGTGGAAAGCACTGTATTTGTGTATAACCAAGTCAACAGTTATGTTCACATGATGACAAGAGTATATCAACTGTTTAAGTGACTCTTCATATTATTGTGTCTTCTTAAGAACGTGGAGACTCACATGGCGATCTATTGTTAATTTGTTGAGTTATTTGGCTTACAAATTCGGGACGGCTTCCTTACATACAAACAAAAGCACACTTAACTTCGCCTCTTTCACACCAGCATTTTTTGTTACGTGAAAAAAAAAAGCTGTGTATTACTGTGTGGAGCATAACAGAATATGACGGTATATGAATCTCTTGGCCTTATAGTAACGCTGACTCTGGGTAGTGTGTTGTATATAAACACAATATGTAATTAGCCCACATTTATACAAGTCTGTCTATCTGTATGTAGACAAAGGCTATTACAAGGCAGATGCGCGCCAGCACAGGGTGACTAGTGTGTTCATCAATCCTTAAACTAAGAAGGAAAACAGTAATTATTGATCTTATCTGAAAATCCCACACCAGGCAGCACCGGGTGAAAGTTTGAGACAAACTCAATTTGACCTGAAGATATTGTGTTCACAACTCACACTCACTGGTACTCCGACGAACAGAATTTCCATGAACAAAACACAAATAATATGCAATTGCTTATGATCATTACGGAATATATTGCAGATAATAACATCATCAATGAACTACCTGGTCAAAACCTTACAGATAACAGACCGTGAAGCGAATGCAGTGAAGGAATGGCTGTCATCCGAGAAGGTGTTTCATGTAATGCGTGACCATCCTCTACACGATATTGCTGTGATGGCTGGCATGTGGGGAGCTCGGTGGGACGGCGACCCAGCCAGGAAGATGCCCACCCTAATGGCTACCCTCAGAGACACCCTGTTCACCAAGGGCATGGGCAGACGTGGCTATTTTGACGACCAATTCTTGCTGACGGTGAGTGGATGTCTGTGTCTGTGTTCCCTCGGGTTTTATTCCAAGAAAAGTGGTAAAATAAGAAGAAACGGAATTTGTTCACTCATATCATTACCAGTCATATAACAGCCAATAACGAGTTATATCTCACACACACACACACACACTAACTACTACTTCTACTACTTTGCTGTCACTCGGAATCGAGTATGACGATCATCCAGCTATGATATAATGATATGAGTTATTAGGGATGTCACCTAGGTCGGTGAGTTTTGAGGTGCTAAAGAGACCGATACGGGACCCGCAGCGTCGTTCACATTCGTTGCAAATGTGGAGGGCTCCATCTACTGCGGGAGGAGCGGTGGCAGCGTCTTTACGGCGTTGGCGCTTGTCTGCCTCGGTTTGTAGTCGGGGTAATTCGAAAGCATTGACACCTTCTCGTGCGGTGCTCCTCCAAGACTAGCCTTATACCTTATCAATTGCCCGACGGCGTTACATTTACTATTCGTTAGGTGACTATAAAGTAGCTGCTTTGACAGTCTACTATCGTCCATGTGGGGTGAGCAGAGTGGCTCCTCGAAAGGGCTGCCCAGTCGCACAGACAGGACCGGATTGCGCTGCTGCCAAGATCCCAGTGCATAAGCACCTATCTTATCTGTGCCGCCCATGTGCAGAGTTGTGACTAGAGACTCCCGGCAGTCATCTCTGCCTGTCCACGTCGTCACTCGTCTATCGTCATTGGACTTTTGGGGGTATAGGGGTTTTGATGATGATTAGAAGTATGATGAGCTGGATGAAGGCTGTGAGTGAGTTGATTTATGTGTAGTGGCAGGAGCGCAGGCTACAACCACACATCTTGGCTCTTCCTTTTCCTGATCCAGTGGTGCTGGTCTAGCCTGGGCCCACGAGGCAACCCGTTACCGTGTGTTGACACAAGGAGGCACAGTAGGAGTCTTGGTGGTGGAAGCAAGTAATGCTTGCACATTAATACTAATAATGTTGCCACACTAGATGCATTACACAAACCTGTGTACACACACACCCAACACACATCACTGTGGAACCGATCTTCTTTCTACTGGAGGGCGTTTTACTCACTGGATTGTCAACACATCCAACAAAGCTCGTAAGGACTTTAGTACTCGAGAATTCTGGACGCGGGGACAGTGAGCCTTCTCTGATATCAGAATATTCGATCCCCGGTCGCATGTCACTGTGACTTGTCTTTTGAGGCTGCACACAGGAGGAACAAGAACGAAGAGAATAGACCAAGCGAAGAGATAATCCAGAACGTGGACCAAGGCAGCTTCACTCCTCTGGTGTTCACAACAGCGGGTGGGATGGGACCTAGTGCACAAAGCGCTCATACTCCAGACCGGCCGATGTGTTATCAGAACAAAAGCAGCAGCCCAGAAGTTATGTCGTGGCCTGGTTAAGGTGTCGCCTATCCTTCTCTCTACTCAGGTTTGCTCTGTTGTGTCTCAGGGGAACAAGATCTTCGCAGATATTGACTATGAGGCAACATTCACTGAATGCCGTATAGATCTGTGACGTAACTAACTCAGCTACGGTAGCCACTTTTGTGTTAGGATAGGTATTACACGTGTGCCGAAGGTTTGGTTATAACGGGAGGTTAGAAGCCATATTAAAAAAGTAGTTGTAGCAGCTCACAAAGATTTATCTCACTACTGATTTCATAATCCATTCAGTTTTATTTTGTCGGTTTTGTGGATTAAGGCGCTTAAGACATGTCTGGTGCACACCAAAAGGACATTCACTTCAATAATTTTCTCTTCCTAAACTAATTTATATTTTTCTCCATTGCTGAACATAGCCAAAGAATAAGACGAACAAATTATTCTTCCTTCTAAATCTTGTTTCCGAAGGCTGTAGTGTACCCGACCATGAAGGGACAAGTGATGGCTCATGACAGCTACTTGTGTGGCAGGTACGAGAACGACTCAAAACCTTGGCCAACACAGCGGCAGGAGGGCGCCTTCGTCGGGGCCCGCAGGTGAGTGAGGCCTACATCGATATGTTAGGAAGTTGTCTGTCATAGTTTTGTAATGTCTGTGAGTGTGTTAAAGATGAAATTATGCGTACACACACACACACACACACACACACACACACTCTCATGATATTTTTACTTCTTTCAGATACAAGAAACAATTTCAAAATGAAATAATTCGTCAAAGGTGTCCACGAGAATGTCGCCCACCAGAGCATCCTGGCTGGCTATACTGCTGAGTGTGGTCCACACCTGACTGGCTACACCCCTGGCTGGTTATACTGCTGAGTATAGCCCAGTGTGTGTGTGTGTGTGTGTGTGTGTTGGTGTGTGTGTTGTGTGTGTGTGCTGGTGTGTGTGTGTGTGTGTGTGTGCGTGTGTGTGTGTGTGTGTGTTTGTGTGTGTGTTGGTGTGTGTGTGTGTTGGTGTGTGTGTGTGTGTGTGTGTGTGTGTGTGTGTTGTGTGTGTGTTGTGTGTGTTGCGTGTGTGTGTTGCGTGTGTGTGTGTGTGTGTGTGTGTTGCGCGTGTGTAGTAATAGAAATAATAATAATAATAATAATAATAATAATAATAATAATAATAATTAACGGTTTATTGAAAGAGCATGGCAGCCGGATGGCTGAAAATATACAGTTGCATAATTGGGGAATGGGTCTCTTGATTTACAAATAATATACCAGTGATATAAGTGATACAAATATGATATATAAAAACTAGGTGGGGAGAAGGTCATACTACAAGGCAGTTCAACACAGTGACAGTGCAAAAAGCTAAGATTGACTGGGAGTGAATACACTGGTTGATTACACGTTATTGATAATTTTTACAATGGTTGACACTGGACTGTTCTTTTAGCGATCAGTTCGTGCTCGTATGGGCTGGATGCGGTTGTGGTGTCGAACAGCAATTCTCGGACGAGGGATCTCGGGTGGTAGAAGGAGCCGGTGTCGAGGATGGTGCAGAAGCTTCTCACCAAATTTGCAGATGAGGTCGTGGTGATGGTCAGAGAGAGCCGAGAATGTCAGTGTGTTGAGCACTTCTTGATATGTGGAATAGGAAGGGGAGAGAATAATCTTGCATGCCCTCTTTTGCACTTTTTCTAGATGTTTATGTTGTGTGGCATTTAGGGAGGAAGACCAGGTAGGGGAGGCATAGGTGAGCTTGGAAGGTATGAATGTTGAGTAAACACTGAGGAGCTCGGGTGCAGGAACTCCGAGGGACTTGAGTCGGCAGAGGAGGTGGAGACGGAAACTGGAGGATTTGACAACTTTACTGACGTGTGGTTTCCAATTTAGTTTGTTGTCTATGGTGACGCAGAGGAGCTTAGTAGAGTCTACAACCTGGAGTGTGTTGGGACCTAAAGTAATGGAAGGGAGTGGGACAACGTCGGAGGAGAGATTGATGTGCATAACCATGGTCTTGGTATGGTTGATGGTGACGTGGTTGTTGGTGGCCCAATTTTGTAGACTGTTCAATAAATCCTGGAGGGCGGTATAGTCGGGAGTGGAGTTGTTGACACTGATCCCAATGGTGGAGTCGTCGACATATTTACAGCGAGCAGAGGTTTTTCTTAGGGCATCATTGATAAGCATAAGGAAGCAGAGCGGTCCCATTTTGGTGCCTTGGGGGACTCTACAGTTGAGTGACTGAAAAGTGGGGACAGCCCCTCGGAAGCGTACGACTTGGCGTCGATCACTAAGGAAGTCTGTAAGCCATGGTATAAGACTTCTTCGAAATCCGAGGTCGATTGCTTTGTTGATTATTAAATTGTGGTCGACTAGGTCAAATGCTTTGGCGAAGTCAATGAAGGCGACAGCCACAGATTTTTTCGTTTTTCCAGATGGCGGTATATGTAGTCGAGAAGGCTGACAAGACAGTGAGTGGTGGAGGAAGTTTGTATATTACCAAATTGCTGAGAATCTATGGCGCCTGCAATATCAGCTTATGCCTAGTCAAAAACGAAACTTTCACAGATTAATCTGGGTATTGGGGTGATGGCAATGGGTCGTAGCTTATTCAAGGATTGTGGGCTGGTTGACTTGGTCACTGGTGACACATATGAAGTCTTACCGTCAGCTAGACATCTGGCTTGACTGAGGGAAGCATTGATGATGGAGCAGAGGGGTTTAGCTAGCTCCGGGGAGAACTCCTTGAAGAGTTTTATTAGTAAGTCAATGGGGGTGGTGGAGCGCCTTAACCTCAGTTTGTCCAGATGTCTTGCAACTTCAAATTCTTCTACTGTCAGTGGGAAAGGGAGGTGGTAGGTAATCAGGGAGACTGGTTGTGTCAAGCCGGGGAGCGTCTGGCATATAGTTGCGAAAGGTTGTTTGATTGATCAGCTGCGTCAACATTAGTGGCTAAGGAAGGGGAAGGGTGTGTGTTTTATTGTTTCGTCCACAGAGTTCTTTAAGCTTACCATACCATTGACTGTTGTTGGTTTGCTTCAGGTGTTGCAACTTGGTTGGGCGTGTGTGTGTGTGTGCTGTATATATAACCAGATGTATATTTCCATTGATATTCGTGAATAAAATGAATGACCAACGTTCTCTATAAATTCATTGAGAGAAAACGAACCTCATTGGTAAGGTTTAAGGGATAACTAAAGCATTTTTCATTTAAACAATAGTTGTCCCCACATTAAAGAGATTCCAGATTTCATTAACACATGTCACGTATTTCTGATATAAGTGGGTGCCCGCCTACATAAGGTACTATATTCCACCTCCTATGTTTGGCGGCTCTTCCTTCCATCTTCCTTATACTACTGGTGAAACAATCAATTCGGCCAGAGAGTCGTTTGCGAGTTCAACTTTGCAGCATTTTTAATCAATCGTGAACCTGTCCAGAGTATCTTGTTGTATGATGGAAATTAATATCCAGGACTAAAAGAGAAGCTGGGCCACAATCTAGTGTGTTATCTCAAGAAATACTTCCCCTATTGACAGCTGCCTCTCTCTATAACCTAAGTATCATTTGTCGTGAGTAATGGGTCTTCGTGAAGTACAATATGGAAGGTGACGCTTAATTTTGTAAACGCTGATAACCGAGTTCAGTAGAGGCGTGTATAATCTCGCTACTGCTGTACAAGAAAATTAACTAATGTCCTCAAGAGTTTAGCTGACCAGACATTGTTACAGTGAATCTCGACTTATTATCAACACATTTTTAGCTGTGTTTTGAAGTGACTATCCATGCCTTGTCTTGTACTGTATCGAGGTTCATAACAGATAATATTAAGGTAGGGAATTATTACCATCAAGAGACCGTTTGGTGACTTTCTTCGGGCGGGAATTATTGTGTTGCCAAGGTCTCTTCTTTCTTTTCCCTTGAATGAATCTTTCTCCTCCTCATACTGGGTCCTCCTCCTCATACTGGGTCCTCCTCCTCATACTGGGTCTTCCTCCTCATACTGGGTCCTCCTCCTCATACTGGGTCCTCCTCCTCATACTGGGTCCTCCTCCTCATACTGGGTCCTCCTCCTCCTCATACTGGGTCTTCCTCCTCATACTGGGTCCTCCTCCTCATACTGGGTCCTCCTCCTCATACTGGGTCCTCCTCCTCATACTGGGTCCTCCTCCTCCTTGTACTGGGTCCCTCCTCTTCCTCCTCCCCTTCCTCCTTGTACCGTGTCCCTCCTCCTCCTCCTTGTGCTGGGTCACTCCTCCTCCTCCCCTTCCCCTCCTCCTCTTCCCCTCCTCCTCCTCCTCCTGTTGGTCATCGAAGAACAGTGTCTCGGAGTCAGGAGTCAAATACAAGTCCGCTCGAGGGAAATATTGGCTGACGAGAAGACAAATAAGGGAGAAAGTCATTACCTGCTGGTGTGGGAGACCAGGTGAGTTTGGATCACCTGAAGATTAAACACCCTAATGTTAATCTAACCAAACTTAACCTAACCTAAGCTAACTTAACATAATCTAACCTAATGTTAACCTAACCTGATTTTACCCCAACTAGCCTAACCGAATCTAATCTAACCAAACCTACTTCAGTTTAACTTAAATTTAATTAACGTAATCTAACTTAACCTAACCTAATTTAACCTAACCTAACCTAATCAAACCTAATCTCTTAATGTGAATAGTAGCAAACTTATTTATTTCGAGAAAATCTGACATGATTATCAAATTTAGGCTAGGTTAGGTTAGGTTAAATTGGCTTAAGTTAGGTTAGGTTAAGTTAAGTTCGGTAACTTTTCTCCTAGATTCGTAACTCACGGAAGGTCCATAATTAAACCTAACTATGATTACTTGGCCAGACAAAGAGCTTCTTCTTCTTCTTCTTCTTCTTCTTCTTTATTCTTCCTTCTTGTTCTACTTCTTGTTCTTTTTCTTGTTCGGCTACCAATTAGACCGCTGTAGGCTACCAGTTAGGTCACTTTAGGCTTCCAGTCAGACCGCTGTAGGCTACCAGTCAGACCGCCGAAGGCTACCAGTTAGGTCACTTTAGGCTACCAGTCAGACCGCCGTAGGCTACCAGTTAGGTCACTTTAGGCTACCAGTCAGACCGCTGTAGGCTACCAGTCAGACCGCCGTAGGCTACCAGTTAGGTCACTCGCCACAAAAAGTTCTCGAACTCTCTCAGGACCAAACAACGTGACAAAACGAACGAGAAATATGAACAATACTCTGAGGAAGTTTTATTGTAAATTGAATTACTTCTTTTCACCTGTAAATACTATAAAGACGATATATTGAGTCACTTCGCAACCAGGCATACCAACCATTCCGAGATGACACGAGTAATGTATATATATCATTCTGAACTCTGTCGTGCCCAGTTGTCCGAGAACTTATGTGGCAAATGTATGTGTTTATCTTTTAATACGAGTCCTTGATCACCCATACTAACTCCATCATTTAAAAATATCTTCCATTTCCATCACAGGGACGCCTTGGTGAAATGATCTGAATAATATACTGGTTTGATCTCTGAGGTGTTATTATACACAGGAATGAAGAACACTATAGTTGTATCTAGGTATCGTGTCATATGTGTAGAGGTATTTCAATATATATCAGTGTGTCGGGTCTTGTTTCCGAATGAGAACTACAACTTGCACTCATAAAAAAAAAATATTCATAGCTCAAAAGATATCATTTCTTGCTACATAAATATTAATACTACTAAATTTATGTTATCAGACTTTTACGAATAGCTTTTAAATCAGCATAAATAAATATGAAATTTCTCGCCTTTTCCCCAACAATGCATCAAGTTCCGTATGTAGGTCAGTAATTATGAGAATAGTCAGGCCCGTTAATTCATTCTTCACATGAATATTAATAGGTTCGTTCACCACCCTCCTCGACCACCACATTTCATATTCGTTCACTCGAGGCTGAA